CCTGATTTACTGTCTACTATAGCTATAAGCAAGATAATTTGGAATCTGTGTGTAGGTTCTGTAAAATATTCTAACCTGTCATATTTAAAGAGTAACTAGGTGATCTGCAAACTACTAAGCTGAAATAAATAACTCGTCGCAATTTTTATCACTACAATATTATTATTCAGACTACTTAATAGCACTGTCAGATTGTTTCTATCGTTTTGAAGTTGTGAACACTTCTCATTTCTTCATTTAAAGGCCCTTCATATTTTCCATGAGTAAAGAACCTGTTACAATACAGTGGGAATCAGTAACAGGTTTGGACATAGTCAAATCTTGACATGGTAATTGGGATTGGACTAATATTAGTCATTAAGTGTTACCTTTCTTGTAGACCATTTATTCAAACGTGTATTTCGGTTATCTGTCAAAATATCGGCGTATACCATTTATTTGATATGTAGTGAAGCATTATTTTACACATCGTTAATTTTATATTTACATTTCCATAGAAAAATAACGCGATTTAATCATATCATGAAGAAGAGAGCAATATTCGCATTGGGATTTTATTTGAAAAGGCGGACAACTACAACATTCAGAAACCCATTGTTTATCTCACTTATTAGAGTTAATCGATTAGACGAGCAATATTGCTTTTTCCCATTTACAGTTAACTATATTCGCCGTCAATTAGTTGATCATTATTTACGTTGGTAATATTTAAAAACTCGTTTTTGTGTTTTGGCTGTCATCCATTTTGGAGATAGTCATTACTCGAGACCAATGTCATAGGCGATTATTGTTTGGTCGGTCATGTTACATGATTTACTTGCCAATTAGTTAAATGTATATTTACAACAGCAAAGCATTCACTACGGAATTTAAAGTCAGAGAGATTATTTCCGAAAAAAAAACAAGTGAGTTTTATTAAGAAAGAATGGACAGAATGAATTGCTAAGTACCTGCTGGCTTTAAGCGATTATTTTTTCGAAGATGACAACCATCCCCAAATCTATAGCCGCTTAGTAAGTAGTAAAAAATATCTAGTGATAAAAATTGGATTTTGTGTGTGGTTGTGTTTTTCAAGAACAAGAAGACGTTTGAAAATCCTTTTATTCCAAGTTTACATTAATTTCATTCTTTTTGGTTTACCAACTACGCAAGTTGGTTATATTTATCTTACTTGATACACTGATGTTCGCTATGGATATAGTTAGTTTGAGATGCAATTAACCTACCACATTCTGTTAGTTACATCAAACTTCTTCAGATTGAAGCATGAACACATTTGTAATGCATCGTATCAATACTTTTCTCCAAGGCTAACATATTAAACTTCCGTAGTAAAATCCCCCAAAAGTAACAACTTTACCATTACTTAGCGTAAAAGAACAGAGAATGTTAAAAAAAGTTATTGTTAGTATAACAGTAGATTAGTTGCGAATACGTGGCTAATTATTGATAAATATACTAGTTCACGTAACAAGGTTAGTAAAACCTGAATATCACTTTTGATATGATTTTCAGGTAGTGTGCGTCAAGAGATGTATTTTTACTGGAATAATGAGTTATTTTAAATTTATTAGAGAAGTACTGTTATAACAGTTATGTTAACTTGCTAATCCCGAGTTACTTATTGTCTGAAAACTAATGTCCTAATCAGGCATTATAATCATAATTAGAGACTAGGAATTATATAAAGGGCATACGGAAGCAAGACATATGAGGATACCCAGTCTTTGTAAATTGTAAGGATATTAGTATAGGTTTAGATTACTGTGTATATTATCTGAGGACAGAATACTCTACTTTGATTTCTAGATATGCCTATGTGAGATAGCATAAATTAGACTGATATATATTTGCGCTAATTCCTAAATCGATTATAACCGACTGTCTAATTTTTAATCAACAACGACTAATGTTGTCTAATTAATATAAGTAGTAAATCCGCCGATTTTTGAGAGTTTCGAGTGGACTGGGACCTTATCACAGAATTGATAGTGTATTAACAGTAAAAAATATCGAATAGTGTGAAAGAAGTCCTCACTAAGTCTTAATAGGCGAGGTAATGAGTGTTTGTATGCAATTATTACTAACAATTGATTATTTTTCATCAGAAATAAAATAGTGACTACATAGAATAGAATTGGGAAAAAGAATTACGTTGTCTATTTGAATGAGAAAACATTTGCTATATATAAGTAGCAATAATAATTAATTGCAATACTATATACGTATAAATGATGCAAAGTGAATACAGACCAAGATTAATCACGAGAAAAAACGACATACAAGTTGAATTTCATTCTTTATTTTCGCCTGTTTACACAATCATGAAATAGACAGAAACAAAAGCATGAAGAACAATACGACGATGAAATGATTATTGTTAGTCCATTTATATTCAATATAAAAAAGCTGCATAATGTTAGTGCATGCAGACTATATTGATTATAAAAAAGTGTACATTGGTAAATGTAATATAATGCAGTTGTTGGTATTTGTGCTATAAGAAAAGTAAATTCGAGAAAGAAAGATAAATAGGAGGTAGAGGACTACAAAGGCAAAAGACGCATCTCATTCTAAATACATTTCGTGTATACTAGTCAATATAGCACGATAAGCAGACCGTACTCATACACAAAAATCGAAAAGACACGTACTTACAGGATATATGTAATGTACTTTTTACATTGCCATTTTGCTTTAATGCGACAATATAATAATTATGATAACAGCATTGATGAGATGAGGAGAGTGAAAACAACATTACCAGTAATATTCTCCTGGTACTTCGTGACACTCAAACACGAACAAATACGTAAAAACGGGAAAAGGCTCAGTGTTATTTTTTTTTATAAAGGAGGTTACAAATAACGATTATCGAAATCATGCAGTTGAAAACTTAAATTGAAAAATAAATATATCCTTCATAAAATGTTTAAAAGATGGAAAGAATGCAATGGAGGAGTGCAGAATAACAATATATTTATTTATGCATTTGTACGTGTACTTGGCGGACTACGACAAGAACAAAATGTAACCGGATTAGTGAACAGATAAACAAAACACGATAACGCCGAATACAGTTTTCATTACATTATTCAGATCCCATATATGCAGTTATACTGTATCGTGAAAGTGTACATGTGTATCAGTGAATAAGCCGAAACGTAGATGATTTTTGTCAACATAAAAGTCAGTCAAATGTAAAATAATCTCAACAAAACTTAAAATAACAGGGTAACCAAGCACAACAATCTACATAATATCATGATTATCAACAATACAATATTCTGTATTGCTTCTGTGATATTTCAAGTTCGGCAAAAGTTCAGTAGCTATTAAAAAAAACAAGCGAACACAAACAAATTATCATGGTAATAATATCTCAGTTATTGCGGATATTACTATCAGTATTAGTTGTAATGACAGTTGCAGTCATAATGTGAATAGCTAAAACGATAACAAATTAATCAAGTCATTTTTAAATAATAATAATAATAATAATAATAATAATAGTTTTGATAAAAAAATATAAATTTGCATTGCATATTCGTAGCACATTACGTTACTACTAAGAGAAAAGAAAAATCGAAATAAAACGGTAACACTAAAAAACGCTAGTTACAACAAGAGATCTTAATAAAATAACTGGAAATTTCTTCTTAGACTGTGAATAATAATAAAATTATGTGGACAGTGACAAGAAAAAATGGAGTCAAAGACAAAATCATATTACCGTACTATTATTGCTATATATTTAATAACCTCTCAAAAAGATTTCGCAAAAAAAAATATATATACATATGTGTACCCTCTGTGTTTTACGTTAGCCGTTCATTAGTAGCAGAAGGAATATTTTAAGAAAAAAAACAGATGTCTGCACCGATTAACAAAAAATTCACAGGTGGATAAGAAGCTAAAGAGACAGTTATGACGGGGTGGATAGTTCCGTTTTGTTTTCTTTTAAATTGTTATTCCATAACTCTATTCAAAAATGATTCCTTCCCTTATATGTATGAGGAATAAGATAAATCGCTTGTTTTTGAAGGAGAAACATTCATGAAAGACGTTGAATAGATTGAACACAGTCTGTGGAATAAATGCCCAAAAAATAACAGACAGTAATATAAACAAAGTGATTTTTACCAGATATTTTTTTAGATTACGTAATATTATTGTAGCAATGAACTAGTCTTCAATTTCCACCTCAATACTTTCTCTTTAACTGAAAAAAAGTAAAAACAGAAGAGTAAAAGTTAATGTGTTTGCAAAAAACAATAAGGTATTATTTACAAAATGTAATTGGATTCGACATACAGATTGTTTCATATTGTTGTATTACAGAAAGATTTTTTGCAACTTTTGTACGACATCTGACTGAAAGTGATTAAACCAAGAATCCATAAACCTACAGAATGAATCAACGACCAAATAATATTTCATTGATTGAAATGTGGATTAACCAAATTAGAGTCAACTCATATTTCAATGCCACGCCCGTCACCACAGTCGCAAAATACTTTTTATTGGTTTAGGAAATTGTTACTCAAAGTCAACCACTTACAACCTTTCAGAGCTATAGGTTCCCCGACTCGGTAGACAATATCGAGTTGAAAGTATCAATTTAGTTCAAAACGCTTCTTATATATGATTCAGGAATGAAAAAAAAAACTAGGGAAAAAACTATCTGTTATCAGTTATATCTCTTAGGCAAGATGTAAAAGAAATATCAAGGTACGTTTTCTCCGCTCTCTTCCACAAAAAGTAATTAGCTGCTAGATGCACAGAGGAAATCTGGATTTCTAGTAAACTCTCCTTCGTATTTCAACCGTCCTTTTGAATACCTACTATTTTTTAAAATATCATATGAACAAGTTACATTAAACGTTCATTTTTAACCAGATAAAGTGGTTATTATAAAAGGACTATTGAAACTTACATCACCAATTATTAACTTCAATGGAAGATTGTGGTAGAATTAAGGCCAAATTGAAGTTTTAAGCTTACAATCTGATAAGGAAAGGCGAAAAACGTCTTATACCACTTTCATCAATAAAATTATAGAAAGACAGAACTTTTGAGTACAAAAACTATACCCATACTGGCTTTTAATTAGTCTGAGGATGTTTTTTTTTCTTTCGAAATAACTACTCTACTAATTGAGGTACTTTTCATTAGCTTTACCTTTGACAGGACGAATATATAAAATAAACTCTTAATGTAACTTTTTCATATTTTGCTGAGCAAAAGTTTCTTCTTTGAAAGTGTTCCATTTATTAAATTGGTTCTTTTATTTTCGGAATCGAGTCTCCTTGGAAATAGGGATATTCAAGATAATCCGATATATTACTTATTCATTCACATAATACAGAATTCCTTCTTCTCAATCTACAACAGTGATATTGTATGACTACATTAATTAAGTATTAAACAATGTATGGTAATTTTTAGTGACGATCTAGACACTATGCTTCGCTCACATGTATAGGGTATTTATTGTACATAGTTATATCAAACAATAACTAATCGATAGAGGAACAACTCGAAAATGATCGTAATTAAAGCCTTATTGTTTGCCATAATATCCTATTTATCAATAATACTATTGTGTTCCAAAACTACTACTACTACTAATATAACTAATAATAATAATATGATTGTTAGAACAATGATCATAAATACTTGCTAATTAAATTTAGTAATGTGTCCATTAATCTCAAAATTAATTGCAATTACACCTAAATTTATTGCTTCGCTAACTGAACTAATATTGGAAGAACTTCTATCTTTTTTCTATTTAAACACTAAGCCCTATATATCATTAATAAATCGCTTCGATAAGACATGATTCTCATTAGGATTGGAAGCCTCGAATTAGATCTCATAAACAACCAGAATAACAATTAGGTAATTAAACCATCAAGGTTTGGCTACGTAAGATTACCGATTTGGCTCAGTAATTTTACAGCTCATATACATAGTTTTTATGCCGGTATTATTGATATTTCACATTGTTAAGTAGGACCACATATTGTGGTTTGAATTTTTTGTTTTCTAGGGGAAATTAGGGTGGAATTTCAAAATTCAGTCTCATTTAGTTGTGCCATTTTTAATACGGGCTTGTGAATAATACAACAAATTACTTCAATTCTAACTTGACCATTTAGATAAAAAAACATCTAAAAAAGCTAACATGTGGTCGATAGACTAACCTTGGAAAATATTGATTATAATATACAATGAAAACTGGATTTTCCGTTTATTTTTGCAAATCTTTTTCTTCGTGTTTATTTAATTCCTTTGGTCGTATCTGATACATACTCGAATGATCATATAGCCTACATAATGCAGAAGTGTCAGAAGATAATGAGGGAGAAGATGAGTATTGTAGAAAATCTATTGTTGGGATCCAACGATAATTCATAACAGTGTTGTTTTGTACTAATTCGCTGAGTTCGTGCCTATTCCATGGGTAATTGAATCCCAAAATATACTTGGATGTTAGTTTATGATAGACAAAATTATTTTGATTGATATTAAGATGGTCGATTTTTAATGTTGGTGTTGGTTTGAGTGTTGGGATGAATTGCTGCGTTAATTTAACTTCATTCAACCAAGCTGATGTTTTTCCACGTCTTTTAGCATCGTCAATAGTTGAATTGACTAGAACAGACCATGTTGTCGTGGGTGATAATGGATATGGTGAATTGAAATATCTTATTCTCCATTGTAAATTATATCGTGTAATCCATAATTCTTTATATTTTTCATTTGTATTCATTATTGTTAAATTGATACCACTAATACGATCATACATTGGTAGTTGGAAACCTAAGGTAGTTAATTGTTTTACTGTAGAATGAAAATCTTTTTAGTTGATAGAAATAGTTGAATGAATAGTGCTGTACTGAGCTGTGATATTGCTGTTTGTGCTGTTGTTGTTGACGATGATGATGGAGAGGAGGGGAAGGATGATTTCGAGTAACTCCACCAATCTACAAGGTTTGTATCTGATATAAGAATAGAAGCGAGTTCTGTTTCTAGTGAACCGTCGATTGATACATCTTGAAATTGCGTCTTGGTTGGCTGGGATTGATTGATGGAGATAACTTTAACAGATCCAGTATCATCGTCAACTACATAACCGACCTTGAGGTGATAAAAAACAAGAAAGAGAAACAGTTAAAAACAATGGAACAATTAAAAATTCGGTAATTCTGTCTTCTATCGCTTTTATAGCAGAATTCATGACAGTAGCTACTAAAAATACTTTGAATTTTAGCATTTAGTATGGTGATTTTGACTGAAATTACTCTGTAAAAGCATGTGCTAAACTGTGTGAAAGTTCCTAAAACGATACACATACTCATTTAGAAAAAGAAATGAAATCTATGTAATTTGGTAAAAGTGAAATTGGAAAGTGTCAGTTTATATGACTTATAGCTACTTTATCCAAAATTCTACTTTTCTTAACTTGAATTATAGGTGCAATAATTTCAGGAAACCTGAGTCTCTATTTAAAAACACTGAGTACTATAAAAAGAAATGCAATTAGATTATACGAGATAACAAAGATTGAGAAAGTAAAGTGATATTGAGCCGTTGTTATCAATGGAGTTGATAGGAAATCCGTTCTAAAGAGATGAACATAACAATCCTAAAAATGAATTGTTGTAAACTTACTTCAGGTCCGAACATTGTGTTTGCGGTAACAGAGGCAAAGACATTTCATCATTAACATCTGTTGAGTCAAGAAGAAAGCTTGATAGCCCACTACCACGTGGTCCACCAGGAGTTAACTGATTAGACTTCAACATACTGAGATGCTCGAATTTTCTGTTTAACTGTTTATAACCTTGGTTATGAATGCAATCAAATGAATGAATGGATGTAATATCAATTGGAAATAAAGGCAATGAATTTTTGAGTGAGTTTTTACTGCTATCCACCTTTCCTTCAAACGTATCAAACTTTGTCAGAAAATTGTCCAGATTGAAACCAACTTGTTTAAGCCACCAAATAGGTGATGTCATAGCTTTACGAAGTTCTGCAAAGAGACCATTCGGGCCAGTTCCTAAAGCTTCTTGCTCAGTCAGACCCCATTTGTGAGTATCTAATACTGATGGATCACGTTTAACATTCGAAAGTCGAGTGGAAATAAGGCCTCGCCAATCCGGACTAGTAAATGTTGCACCAAGAGGATCATATGCACGACTAGTTGGTGGACAGAAAAGAAACCCAGTATGAAAATCGGTAATGCACGAGGCCTGACCCAGTGGTAAATCAACTTCTTCAATAAGGGCACGTGTGAAGAAATTGTTGCGGCTAGATAATGTTAGACGTCGACTTCCTGTAGTGGAGTATTCAGCAGCCCATGCCAACTGAGGATAGAGCATAAAAATATTGATATTTAAAAAAGCATAACATGAATACGTAAATTTCATTTTTAGCTTTAATGATGACTTGTCCTTAGACTATCATCTGATGTATTATACGCTAAAATTCTTATAATTGATAAACACTTTTAATACACAAAGCAATAAAAGCTTTAAAGTTACCAAAATAATTCATGTTATTTTTCAGTAGTCCACATGGTAAAACGAATTACTGGATACGTTACAATGAAAAAAATAGTTATTATAACCACTAACACAAATGTACGTTTAAAAGTAATAGCCTACTAGTGATTCTTTTTAAAGTGTATATTTATTACTAAACATAAGTTAGAGACACCAAAGGGACCTATAATAACTGTAGTATCATTGGCATCTGTCGATGTAATTATTTCCATAATGATGATCGTTATTAGTATAATAATAACTATATTTTTGTTATATCCCAATGAGCAGAAAAATTGTATTTCTGAGGTTTCATGACCTAATGTAAGCCACTTCTCCAGAGCAAATAAATAACCGAATTAAATTAACACAAGTTTAAATAGTACAAGTCATAGTACAATCGTCACATACTTAATAAACGTTGTCTAAACAATAACATTATTAGTATGTTATCGTAAGTAATGATCACAGAAGAGTTCTGGAGTTAAAACGAAAAATAACACAGTGTATCAGAGTTGACATGGATTAGTTTATAAATCAATGTACCTATTGTATCATTTATTAAAATACAAGATACTGATTAAGGGACAAATCGTCTTTATAGTAACGTGATTAAACACAGAAAACGTGCCAATTTTAAGATACTAATACTGTTAATCACATGTCATAGATTATACTAACATATATTTTTGAGAAGAATTGGATGTGTTATATTTCTTTTACATTTATTTTCAATTTAAACGTGATAAGTCGTGTAAGGTTGAACGCTATATACGATTCCTAAGCTAATCCGATAACCCGCAGTCTAGAACTACACAGCGACTTGAACTCCAGAGAGAAGACACAAGAATGAGAGAAAGCACTTTATTCCAAGGTTCATCTTTGTACAGAAAATCATGGGTATTTATAGATTTTGGCGTCTGTTAAATCAACATCATTTTACAGCCAATCCGATAACAGCACATTATGCTACCGACCAATAGTAGCACGCCACGTTGGAATTCTAGAACGTTCCATCACACTCTGATTGGCCAGGACTCTTCGGCTCCTTGTGGGCCTCTGGAGGCTCCGTTGAAGTTCTCCGGAAGCCGACCCAACACCTCCCCCGAATAAGATTTCTTTCTGGGATCCACTTGTAGTTTGATAACTGGATTGCGACGGCGTCCCATTATTCTTGTCGTCTTTCTTGTCCAAGACTTCTTTTCAGTGTTCCTGGGCGTTTGTGGCATTGGTGCGTCTAAGATTAATTCTAACGGGAAAGTCGGCCGGTTACTTCGAGTCTGCACTGTCCTTTTGTCCTTAAGGATTTGATTTGTATGACGTATACATGTCCCAAAAGCTCCTCGAACTTTGTACAGTACTCTTCCCAGTTTTTGCACCACTTCGCCCGGCTCCCATCGGTTCTTCCCGATGTAGGATTTAATGTAGACCTTGTCGCCAATACTGAAGTTCCGGATACTTGGGTCGCGACTACGCTCATCCACTGGTTTGGATGGCAACATGGCATCGAAGACTGTTCGAATACGCCTTCCAAACATGGCTTCCGCGGGAGATTTGCCGTCTTGAACATTTGGGTTTGGGGTGGATCTGTATGATGTCAGAAATTTTGTGATCACCTGCTCAGTCGTCCCTTCTCCTCCCCCTTTCAGTAATGCTCGTTTAAAAGTGTCCACAAAGCGCTCTGCTTGTCCGTTTGATTGTGGATGATAGGGTGGAGAACGAAGATGATTTATTCCGTTTGTTCTGCAGAAATGTTTAAACGATTCTGCGGCAAACTGAGAGCCGTTATCCGTCACTAAGGTCTCTGGCACTCCGAAACTGCTAAATAGGATAGACAACTTGCGGATCGTTTCTGACGTTGTACAATTTGGCATGATGTATACTTCCGGCCATTTAGTGAATGCATCTACGATAATTAGAAACATTTTCCCTTGGATTGGACCGGCAAAATCTGCGTGAAGTCTTACCCAGGGTCCCGCGGGCATAGGCCAACACTGAGGCTCGCATTTCGAAGGATTTTTAGCGGCTTGGATACATGATGAACAGTTACGGCATTTATTCTCGATATCTGTGTCCATTGACGGCCAATAAGCATAGCTACGAGCCAAAGATTTCATTTTACTGATTCCAGGATGGCCACTGTGAAACTGCTTGAGGACCTTGTGACGTAGTAACTTCGGGACAACAATGCGATCACCGAACATAATACAGGAGTCAACAACCATTAGAGAGTCCCGTCGACGAAAATATTGCAAGAGTTCTCCGTCGAGGCGATTGTTTGGCCATTTCGTCAAGAGATAGCTTTTAACTGAGCTCAGTATCTTATCACTTTCAGTTATCTTCTTGATAGTTTCAAAGGTTACTGGGAGTCCATTAACTGCGTCATCCAACACGCGATGAACTTCTTCCTCGGCTTTTATATTTGCTACAAGAGTCTCCTCCGGGGTTTTCGATTGGGAGCCTATTAATCTCGACAATGCGTCAGCTTGCCCGAAAGCGGTAGTAGACTGATACTTGATCTTGAAGTCGTAACCCAGAAGTGTGGTTGCCCATCGTTGGAGTCGGTTAGCTGTATGAACGGGAATTCCTTTCTTTGACCCAAACACTGCAAGTAGTGGCTTATGGTCTGTTATTAGGGTAAAATGTCGACCATATATCATCTTGTGGAACTTTTTCACTGCAAATATAATCGATAGGGCTTCTTTCTCGATTTGGCTATAGTTCCTTTCAGTCGTTGTCAAAGATCTGGCAGCGTGTGAGATAGCTTTTTCAGACCCATCAGGAAAAATATGAGAGATAACTGCGCCCACACCATAGTTAGAAGCATCTGAAGCGACGACTATCGGTAGAGAAGGATCATAATGTGTCAATAAGAGATCGGAAGTTAGGAGTTGCTTGATTTTCTCAAAAGATGCTTGGCAGTCTGCAGACCAATTCCATCTTGTGTTCCTTTGTAGTAGGTTGTTTAGTGGAGCACGTAGACGATGGAGATCGGGGAGAAAGGTACCGTAATGACTGACCAATCCCAAGAATGATCGTAGGGTTGTAACGTCCCTGGGTCTAGGCATTGTTTTCACTGCTTCAATGTTCTCTGGATCTGGTCGTCTTCCGTCTTTATCTATTATGAACCCAAGGTACCGTACTTGCTGCATATAGAAGTCACACTTTTCCGCTCGGAGGCGAAAACCATAATCAGCTATGCGTTCTAGTACCTGGTCCAGTTTCTTCTGCAGGTCCATTTTATCTACTGCCGTAATTATGATGTCGTCTAGGTAGGCTGCAGCTCCTGAAATACCTTGTAACATGGTATCCATAATTTGCTGAAAAATAGAGGGTGCTGTCTTTACCCCAAAAGGTAGTCGGTTATACCGGAACAGACCTTTGTGTGTGTTGATCGTTAAGAGATCTTTGCTTTCATCAGATACAGGGATTTGTAGGTATGCGTCTGATAAGTCCAATTTTGCAAAATATCTGCCACCGTTCAGCTTAGCGAAAAGATCTTCTGGTAAGGGTAACGGATACTGATGAGACTGTAGCGCTTCATTTAATCCCGTGGAGTAGTCTGCACATAAACGAACACTTCCATTCGACTTCTTGACCACCACTATTGGTGCAGCCCAATTCGAGAAGTTCACAGGCTCGATAACACCCATTTGCTGAAGTCGTTGTAATTCTTGTTCAACTATTGGAAGAGCAGCATAGGGTACAGGTCTTTTAGGTCGAAAAACGGGAGCAGCTTCAGGTTTTAGAGTTAACAGTGCTTTAGCTTTCGTACATTCTCCCAATCCTTCTCTAAACACGTTTTGATGTCTTTGTAGCATGGCGTTTTTCTGATTCCATTCTGGGGTGTTGTCTGTACTTACTCGTCTGCAGATACTGTTGATAGAATGATCTGCTAGTTTAAGTGTTTCTATAAGGTCCAACCCCATTAAGTCTAGTGCTGGCTTCTTAGTAAGATACAATATTGCATTTGTTGTTACCGTACCTTTAGAAACAATGCATGGCACTTCTCCAACAATATTCAACTTCCCTCCAGATGCACTGTGTGCCAGCTGTGTTGTTGGGAAAACTGTGGGTCTCCCAATGTTCTTCCACGTTTCTGGGCTGATTAAAGTAATATCAGAAGCTGTGTCCAGCTGAAGGCGGGTACGGTGTTTATTAATATTCAAGGTCACATACTTTCTTTGGTGGCAACTTCGTGCTCTGTTATGTGATACCAATATCTTGTTGGTTGGAGCACTATATCTGTATTTCGTTGAGTAAGATTTCACGGAACGTTTTCTATAGTCTCTTCTCCTGCAGAAGTTTTCTTTATGCCCCTTCCGATGACATTTGCTGCAACGATGTTCTTTATGTGGGCAAAACCTCTTATAGTGCCAACCTCCACATGCCCAGCATGGAGATGATGGTTTGTCGCTGTTATTTTGGAAATTATGGGTACTGGAACCTTGAAAGACTTTTCTCTTGACTGCATTGACGTTACGGAAACAGTTACCGTTTTCTACCATTGAGGTATCATGCTTTAAGTTTACTAACCTTTGGCACTCAGTAGTCACTTCTTGCAGGGTCATGTTAGGGCAGTGTTCGAGTTTGCTTAGGATTCTGGTTCGGATATCGGCATCTTCGGGTGAACGCAGGCTGCAGATAAATACTAAGCATTTAAACTGATCTTCAGACATGGACGACAATTTAAATCTCTCACATTCTCGGTTCACAGTTCCTGCATGCTTCACCCAGTCATCTCCTGGTTCTTTCGTTAACTTTAAGCACTGGTAACGGATATTAAATAGAGATGATTGTTCTCCAAAGATTTGGGATAGGGTTTTGACTGTATCATCAAAACTAAAATCTCGTGGGTTCTTCGGAAGAATGAAGTTGCTATAGCGTTCATGTTCCATAGTCCCAAGTTTTCTAAGAAGTATTCTGACTTTTGAAGCATCATCCAGTTTGCAAAGATCAATATAAAACAAATCTTCATACTTCTTAAACCACGACTCGAAAGTTACACCTGCTACACCATCAAAATTAAATTCATGGATGGCGTTAATGACTGAATCAGTATGTGATACTTGAGATTCACTAGAAGCAGGGTTTTTCTCGGACAGGCAGAATTTCTGCATCAGGGTTTCCATGATTCTAATATGGGACTCTTCAAACCTCTTTTCTTGACGCACCATATAAGCTTCTAATTGCTCCAAGGAAATATTCATTGAAGTTTTCATCCCCGTCGCCACTGATAAGTCGTGTAAGGTTGAACGCTATATACGATTCCTAAGCTATTCCGATAACCCGCAGTCTAGAACTACACAGCGACTTGAACTCCAGAGAGAAGACACAAGAATGAGAGAAAGCACTTTATTCCAAGGTTCATCTTTGTACAGAAAATCATGGGTATTTATAGATTTTGGCGTCTGTTAAATCAACATCATTTTACAGCCAATCCGATAACATCACATTATGCTACCGACCAATAGTAGCACGCCACGTTGGAATTCTAGAACGTTCCATCACACTCTGATTGGCCAGGACTCTTCGGCTCCTTGTGGGCCTCTGGAGGCTCCGTTGAAGTTCTCCGGAAGCCGACCCAACAAAACGTGAATTCTTTCCGTAAAAAAAGTTTTTGGCAGTTAATATATCAAATTGACTACTGTAAAGGAACAATCCCCCTTTTATTTCTGTCTCAAATATCTCAGCATTTAACCGTCTGAAGGTTAAGTCATGAGTTCGAATACAGTTCTGTCCACTAACAATTGAGTAATATTATTAAAACTGCGTGCACCAATTAGATGCCATTAACGTTTTGCCGCATAAATATATAAATTGTTATTAAGTCGCATTTACGACTGTGTCGTTTAACCGATATAGGAAGTTCAATACAGCTCTATAAATATATTACTATCTAGGCCCCTATATGAGGAAAACAATGATGTTCTCTGTTCTGTACTTACTTTAGGATATTGAAACATACAGATATAAGGTAAATAATACATACGTACCTTTCCATTCTCGGAAAATGCGGCAGTTGGACTACCTTCATGGTTAGTAATTATGAAAAATACACGTTTTTGTGCCGAATTAGTAGAATCATGATGAAACTGATTATCATCGAAGGAGTTCATTGGAGATGGAATACTATTAGAATTCAGATTGTTTCTTTTACCGTTATTTGTATTTAAACCACCATTATCATATTGTTCTAAAGCAAATACATGACCATGTATAGGGTCATATAACAGTCGGATAGTTTTCAAACGTCCATGATTAAAAATATGTGTTATACGTGTAGGGTGTTTGGGATCGGCGTAGAAATATTGAACTGAATCCCGTACAATTAAAGTATCACGCACAATTATCAACCGATCTTCAGAATCATAAATGAATTGAACTGAGTAAGAACGCTTTAAACCGGCGTCATCTTCTAAAGTCCATTGATCCAATGGTGATGATGACGATGGTGTTGAATGAAAATTGTCAGTGGACGATGAATCAACACTTTTGTCAACTGCACGCTCGGCCCATATCAACAATCCTTTACTATTGTAAGCAAATTGATCTGTAATATAAAAATTGTGTAAATAGCGTTTTATCAGGAATCCATCTTCATCAAAATTATAGTGCCAGTTGCCTCGTTTTGCCAATAAACCTCTTGAGTCATAAATGAACTGTAGTTCTTCTGAACGACTTGTTAATCCAGACTCTGACCGCTCATTCGATGGTAGCTGAGGATCTGATGTAGCTATACGAAGATGTGCTATTCGTCCTTCAGCATTGTAAATCAACTGGCTATGTGATCTTAAACTTGTACCAGCTTCTTCACGGTCCACAGCTTCTAAACGTCCACCTGGACCATGTACATATGTGATCCATCGTGGTACTTGACCTTCACGTTCTTCACGTTGTTGTAAGGCTTGTAAAGCGTTTGGTTGATATGATAATGACAAGTTATATAACAATTCACGTCTGCTGTTAAGCTTTTTAACAAAAGAAACATATCAAAAATGTTAACGTTTTATGCAACAAACACAAGGAAATAAATACAAGCAACACGGTTGTAATGAATTTAACAATCAATATACGATAAAATGTATAATGAACAGTCAAAATTTCTCCATTTAATACTTTGCACTCATATTAAGTAAACAGCATAAAGTACAACGAAACATATCACCAATTTTTACAGTTGAAATCACTAGTCGGTCTAAGCTAGAGCACCACCTGGAAGCACTGGTTGGGCAAGATCCTGGATTGGCTGAAATTGGACATTATCACCATTGGATGCCAGCTCAGTGGTCGTCCAGTTTTTTCAGGTTCTCATTGGTGGTCTAACTTAGATTGATTCGTGATTTTGACTGAAAATACTACTATCTCCACAAATCCTCATACTGACAACATCAATTATTGGTTAGACTGAGATGTCCTTGATTAGGAGGTCGTCCCTTCTATAGAAGTGTTTCAACAGGATTCGAAGAGATATACTTTCAGTTATCTTTTATATTAGTAAGTTTAACTGATTCCATTGAATAGTAAATCAAACTATCAAGCAATACTAGAACCCATGATTTAAGGCAAGGTAGGGAGTAAATATATCCGCACCATTGTGACCGATTCGGAACCACGTCAGCCAAAGCTTTCAATCACTGGTTGGAGCTATCGTGTAGACTCCAATCAGACAGTCTGAATCTATGAACATGACTCAGACGAACAGCCAATGACCATATGGACTGATGCCACGTCTTGGTTTAGCCGCACCTCAACGTCCCTCAACTTACTTCTACATCAGATAACACCGCCCACCAAAGTAGGCGATGAATGAGAGTACGTAACACGTCCAAATCAGTCGATCAGTATTCACACTCTCATTTGTAATCTTTATTGCTTACAGTATGCATAACCTTAATATGTATTACTCAGTCATCCCACGAGACGTGAGCATTGCTTTGAATATATCGTTTTTTAAAAACTTGAAACTTAAGCATATATTCTACTTTAATAGTCTATATTTTACAGCCGTATAATAATACAGAGCTGGTTGCTGCGCAGTATACTCACTTCTATCAAGATATCCAGAAGCTCATCTTTATGAATTGGGCCCTTAAAAATAGATCAGTTATCAGCTAGCTCACCTGTTTTCGACACAAAATTGGGGGAGTTTTTAAGAGCTAAAATTACTTAACAAACGAACAAAAATGTAAAAAATATAACATACTTTGGAGAATCTGGATAAGAAGAAATAATGGTAAGAACACTTATCAACCTTATCGATAGGGCTCAAAAGTTGGCTTTAAGTATCCGAATTAATACAGTTAGTTGACGAAAGGGAAAAATTGTAAAGCTTGAAATCATAATGAAAGCAAAGCTAAATGCATTTTTCAATGTACGAACACTAAAGTAGTATGACAAAACAAGGGCTTATTCACTATCTTAAGCTTCAGTCATTACTTATTAAAATCAGTTCGTTAAGCTAATCGGATAAAGGAAAACTACATAAATATATACTTTAATTGGACTCGTTTTTAACCTTGGAAAATCGTAATTATTTGCAATAACATTTATGATGTATTTGAAAATATAAATAGGGAAAAAACAAACAAATGAACTGCTTACTGAATGCAATACGCATTGTATAATACGTTGACGATCATCCCATTGACGATAAATTTGTATATTTTTTAAATTATAAGTTATATGCAATGAAGAGGATTGATGATTGATAGTGAATTCATTCATAGTCAATACACGACCAGTTAATGAATCTAATCGGATCGATGATTCTTCATTCAATACTGTCTTATCATCAGAATTAATTGTATTACCAAAATCGTCTTCATTATTTCTTATAAACAATGATGTATGAATACTTACAAGCTAAATTAGAAAGTAAAAAAGATGATAAATCAAAGAAGATTAACCAAATTTTACAAAAAGTCAGTTGTATAAACAGAATTTTTAAAATTAAGTTTCCTATTATAGTTCATGGATTATTATACCAGGCAAGTTAGACTGAATATTTTGAGAAAGCTTTTTGAGAAATAAACAACAGTTTAGTTTAGTTCAAGTACATATGAAACACAGTATTAGGCTGTGGTCAGGATAAGTAAAGAGTAATACAACTATTAGCCTATTGACCATACATTTTATCCAGTGAGTAAGAAAAATCACGATGTAGTGCGATACTAATTTTCTCATCTCAAACAAACTGGGAAAATGATATTTTGAAAATTTTATTGCTGTACTATTGCTGTTATCCTTACAAAATATATGAAAGAGGTCAGTGTACATTAGATTGAGCAAGTAAATTGAAATCCTTTACGTTTGGAATCAGATAAAGTCGACATGACTTCATACCATACGACCAGTTTATACAAGTTCGTTCCCATAAAAGAACATATTTGTGCCTATTTGATACATAACAAAATGTATAACCCTGGATAATTGCAATTTAATCTGTATTCACTATAATTTGAATTTAAATCACCCTATTTAGTTGTTGTATTTCTGGTATTAAACATAAATTCTGTGCATAACCTGCGTAATTATGGCTATTTTTTGCATTTCATTCACATATGATAAACAGAATACCACTAAACAAAATACGAGAGAAAATGAGTGATAGTACTAGTTAGTCGTGACTTCATATAAATACACAAACTAAGAGGAAAATAAATGTGTAAGTACTGTCGTAATTAAGTCTTCTGATAAAAACTCTCTTCATATTGATATTTCGTGCTGCCACTTTAATACAAAGATATATTACAAGTCCCTAACGTTGTACTTGATTCCATACAAACTTTACCTTAGTTATGTCATTCATTTCAAAATTGCAGAGATTTACACACAACAGCAGGTTAGTTGAAAAAAACTCCATAATACAGCACTACGTTAATTATTGAAAATAAAACAAACACAGAGAGAAAGATCGCGTCTCCTTGGGGAAGTGACTTGGTGCAACAGTAGCTTAATGGTTAAAGAAAAATATTTTCAAACAATGGGTCACAGGTTCATAAACTGATGCAGTGAATTCAATAACCCTCATAAAAACATTATTGTTCAAAGACGTATACATCAACCTACATATAACAACATAATAACATTGAATTACTCACTTACCTGCGATTAGTCAATGTGAATATCAAGAATTAGTGGCAAATACATATAGGTACTGTTTGGATAGACCGGTAAAGGACATTGAGAAGTTTAGTTATGCTATATAGCCCCTATTTGGGAACTCGTTTAGTGAAATCCTGAATGAAACGATAAAACCCGCATAGAACACGTTTGGATGAGGAATTGCAAGGGGTGTTTGAGAATCTTAGTTTAGTACTAATGTTCATCTGTTTTGAGGTCATCGCTGAAGTGTGATAGCTTCCATATGATAGTTTTAATATTCGACTGTTAAATTTTGCAAAACATTATATTATGAGAATCAGGTGGACTAATATGTTTTCCGACTATTTATCACTGAATAAAGAGGAGAGTAGTTATTTTACATTATTCGTGTTATCATGTGATTAGGTGTGTGTGCGACAGAAGATAACGGTACAGTCTTCTGAGGAATTTTCAAAGTACTTGGTAATTATAATGATTCTTGAAGAGGTTTATGTGAAGCAAACGTAATAACACATAACATTATGTATAATACAAAAAAATTCTCGTTCAGGAAAACTTACATTCATATTTAAGTCATAACCATAAGTGAATTTAGCATTCAGGATTCCCCCAAGATTAGGATGGGCAGTTTTTACACCTGGTAGTCGGTGATTTATATGCAAAGATTGTAATAAACTTCCTTGAAAGATACGCTGATACTGTAACCGAAAACCAGATGCAGTATCCGTCAACTGTACAAGTGGAGCATTTAATATATTAACTGGTTGTTTCAAACCATTAGAATCCCATCGAACTGATGTTTTATCGTAAATTACGAAATTTTGTTTAGGAAATATTGATATACGCCTATAACTACTTGGCCATATGAAACGAAGCAAGTGTGAATGATCTGATGATAATTTCATAGAACTACCAACATCACTTCCCCATTCATAGACCCAGGAACCGGGTGAGTCTAGCCATGGTGTAAACATCAAACGATTAACTTTTATTCCATTGATTCGAGTAAACTGACGTCTAAGACCGGTTGGAGTGATAACTCCAGAAAGACCCATATAGTCTGATTTTGATGATGGTAATGAACTAGCTTCTTGATGTTCACTAGACCCAATAAAGCTATCAGAATAAAGTAATGTGTAGAGACCTGATCCACTCACAGAAACCATTGTTGGCTGTAAGTTGCAAACAGATAAGAATATACATTTTTTACTGAATAAAATAAATAAATAAATAAATAGAACAATTAAAGTAATTGATAATTAGTTTTAAATAAATAGTGAACAGACAATATATGTCAACTAATCATTAATGTGCACAATAATCAGAGTTATTCTTTGTATAGGCTTTTTACAGCTCAGTCAGTGAATGAGCAGCATTCAATCAGTAAAACAGATTTAAATTCCAGGTTATTTTCCAGCTTCAGTTATAGATCGATAGCAAAACGCTTTATTTTCTAATCAGAAGGTTAACAAATACAAGTAATTATAACTTTGCTAAGAACTAGACTAGTTGACACTTCAGAAGGAAGAAAGAATCATAATGAACACTACACTTAAAGCATAACTCTTTGAAATTTTCAGCGCAATATATTTAAAAAATGTAATACACGTTTATTATTTCGATGAGAGCGTCTTGAATTTCGACGCTGAGTAGACCAAGATATTATTACTTGAAGTAAAATTAGTCATAATTATTATAGGAGACATGATTTTTGAATTCTTATAGAAATAAATCAACATGAAAACAAACAATTCATACGACAAAAAATACTTCGTCATAATTCAGTAGTTATTTAGTAATTTAAACATTGATTTCAATGATCATCTTCCGGTTAGTACTTTGAAAACTGATAAGATTTACAATTCTCTTTCTAAAAATAAGACTTTGTCGAATATTTTGGGCATTGACATGTAAATTGCAGTGTTGTTGAAGCAAAAGAATAATCAGAAAGCGCCATTGATTTACAGTAGGCCAGGTGGCAAATACCAATGCAACAAATACTAATTTCAGTTGGTAGGATCAAAACAATAAACATATATTATGGTTAACACCACAAATTAAACCCTTTTCTTCAGTTCATCAATCTTAATTAGTCTTTCAGCTAATATCGGTCTATGAGAAAAGACTATCATTGTATAATACATATTTTTGTAGGATTATCATTATCTTAGTTTATAGAAAAGTAATACATTCTTCTTTTCACTAATAATGTTGGCATTAACACTAAAAAAACTAAAAGAGATATAATGTATCTAAACTTAATTAGCATTTTCATTATAAATATTTGCCGATTTATTAGCTCATACACAGATTGGTGAGCTACGGACAAGCAATGTAGCTGAGACATGTGTTTCTATATGGCCTACCTTGATGCATAATTTCGGTATACGTAGAGATAGGTTAGGAAAAGGCGAAGGGTGATCAAACTAGTCAATAAAGATATTGACACCTAATCAGGGTAAAACAACTCAGTGAACGTTGTTTGATGAGAATTATCAGGATATCGATATTCACTAATTGCAGACTTTAAATAATATAAAGCAAGATCGGTCACAATCGCGTAAATGTGATTGTTACTTATATTCCTCTAAGTATTCATCATTTGAGTACTGTATAGCTCTATTTAATTTGTGTACACTTATGTTGTAACCAGTTGAAGCTATGAGCTTTCTGTGAACTTCTATGTTGTTCTGTTTTTCTCTTTCCTATCATAGGAATTGTTGAACTACTGTCATATTAGGAATCCATACAAGTATTAATTGTTACCAATTTATTCGGAGATAGTTTCAGAGAAAAATTTAATAATCTAAATGTTTCTCGAAAAAAAAAAAGCTGTTCAACTCGGCTACGATATAATCTGAGCTTAAAATTAATGATTACCTGAAATGGGATATTTTGGATTCCATATTGAAATGATAAAGTATCCGCAGGTCTTCCTAAATCGGCTGCTTTCAATCGATTCAGAACATCATAGGAAAAATGATAACTTGCATTTCCCCACTCAACTGCACTTAAATGTCCAGTCCTAAAAAGTTAAGAAAAATAAGCGAATGGTCATTTTACTTAAAAATTCATAATTAATTCAGTTATACTGTTGTTACTGTTAGAAATATTCATAGCCAACAGCTAAGTAACCAAACTAGTCAACGATATCCTTGCAACTTTACAAAGTATGAATATAAAGATCATATCATTAGTATTTATAGAAGCACATAGTATTCAGAATTCTTTATAGCTATAATTAAAAACACGGAACGGTCAGTCAGTCAGTCAGCTACAACGTAGGACAACGTAGGCACATATGTGCATCGGTCCAGGTTGCCATACCGCATCAGCACAACAAGATGAACACTAGATTCATAGCAGTGGTTATGTCAAAGGTGGTAATATATAAAAGAAAGATTGCATATAGAGATATAATACAAAAAGAAAGAATTGGTGCGTAGAAAGAAAGATATGAAGCGATTTTAATCTCTTAGTTTAAGGGAAGACAGGGAGTGTATACACCGACGCCATTGTGATCGATTCTGAGCCACGTCACCAAGAGTCTCTAACCATTGGTTACGATAGTCACGCGGACCCCAACCAAGTAGTCTGCATCTACCAACATGGCTCAGACTACAAGTTAGTGACTTCAAGCACTGATGCCACGTTTTGGTTTGGCCGCCCCTAACTTTCTTCCAACCATCTCCAGCACCGGTTAGCATTGCACGTCGTGGTAATCGGTGTTCAGGCATACGTAACACGTGGCCCAACCATCTCAGTCGATGAAGATTCATAACCTCATCAACTGATTTACCATCATTCCCTAATACCCTGCGTCTAACCTCACTATTACTTACCCGGTGATCCCAGCAGACGCCAGCAATATTTCTAAGGCATCTGTGGTCAAATACTAATAGCTTACGAGTGTCTTCTACTCTTAATGGCCATGTTTCGCTGCCGTAAATTAAAACAGAACGGACTGCCGCGCAGTATACTCGTCCTTTTATTGATAGACGGATATCTCGCCTTCGCCACAGGTGACGTAAGTTGGCAAAAGCCAAACGAGCTTTTCGAATCCGTGCTGAGATTTCGTCCGATACCAACCCAACACGGAACAACTATAAAGGAACCAATAAATATTTTATTTTTTAAGAATTCTCTCTACTATTCTGTACCATTCTATTTGGGAAATATGTTTTGAAGTTTTTTTATGTGGCTAAAGTTCTTAACTAATTTGCTCATATACATTTTCACTAATTGTATATATAGGCATATAGTTTGTTTTATTAGTACACTGATTTAACATGGAACATAGAATACCGTTGTCTTAATCTACACAAGGATGGTGACTGAATTAAAAGTAAACTAATTGAATAATCACCTTTATAATGGTTTATTGTGTGTCTAAGTATCTGAGCTACAAGATGTAATTACTAATCTGAGTTTAATTCTAATTCAAACAGCAAACGCGCTACATTCAGGTATCATGTAAATAAGGAAAACACAGAAGCGTCCTTTCTCACTACAGCTAATTGTCTAACGACTCATGAGTTTTATCAATCATAGTGAGTAATGAAAACTGGTAAGATGACGACTGTTGACTGGAATTCAGCTGGAAATCGGTTTCCCCACCAACTATCGGCCATGGATACACTAAAAGGTATCTCATATAGGTTATATTAGTGAAACAATATATCGATAAACCATAAATTACTTTGTATATGCAAGTATCAATGTAGCTGGTCGTATATAATCTGCTTTTGTTGGATAAAACATTTCATGTGCTCCCGTCGATTGCAAGTAATTTGCAGAAGCATTAAAAATCATCGGTTGAAAATTGCATTATACACGACTTGCAAAAGAATGTGTCCAGTTGAAGCGTGTTGATAAGTTTCTAATTGTAGTGCCCAGTTAAAATTAACATTGAGCAGATTTTGGCCGTTCACCTAAAAACAAATACATAGACAAATATAAATAAGACACTGACAGCCAAGAAACTATATTAATTTGTAGACTTCAATTACACCCCTCATTTGTTTTTTTCATACCGATTTTTGAAATAAGCTGAACGATAAAAAAACCCTCTTTCCTCCAAGCTGACGTCAGCGCCCAAAAGATATTCGCATTTGGAACCATAATGTTACACAATGAATCCGCTGTCCTTTTTTCACTATTAGGTTTGATTTCTGTGGGGCAACTCAAACAAAGCTAACATTATATTTGGGCGAACTGACTAGTGAATGTTTTAATGCCATAGTAAACATAATCAACAGTATAGATTTATAAAAAACTGAAACGATTTTGTTTTTATGTAACCAACAGTTTTGTAAGCTCCTCCAGTTTTACAAATTAAAGGTGGATTCATCTGAACCATTGAGTCATGTATTGTGAGTCGCGAGGTGGCTACTCTAATTTCTACCGATTGACCAGCTTCAGATATCCCAGTTCGACCCCAATACTGTTACCCAATCTCCAATACATCAGAACACGAACCGTAGATGAAAAATTGTTTATGGGGTCAGGAGCAGAATAATGATTTACAAACAAATGCATATTTATACAGTTAGGATTACTATAAATATTGACCAACCGAAAAATGATACGTGAAATCATATTGACCAATGGGAAAATGACACCATTTAGCGTTCAAGGATAGCATTAGACTTAACCGGATAATTGTTTTTGGGATATTTTTCTGAATATCCCAACATCATGAAATCTCGAAAATCAACCCATCCAAGGTATTAAGTAAATCTTATAATATTGATTCTCTGTTTGTATAGGATGAGACTACTTTCAACATGCTTTGCTGAAGTTTGTTTATTAAACTATAATTTTGATATTGTCAACTTTCAAGTTCCTCAGAATGACATTATTATTATTGTACACAAAAGAAATGGTTCGGAAATTATCAGTTATTTTTAAGTAGTGATCCTAATAAAAAAAATAGTACTAGAAATGAGTTACCAATTCGATAAACGTTTATCACTTACTGTCAGGGTCTTCTGATAATGCCAGTCTACTTCTTCACCAAGATTATTGTAATTCTTATCATTATAATTAAAAATAGACCGAGCAGTAAATCTCTTAGAAAAAGGATGGGACATTTGACGTTTTGAACGATGTAAATCTGATCCAGATAGATAATTCTGTGCCGAAATACTACGTCGAAAATGATTCTTAAAAAAGTGATATGGTTGTGACTTCTTATCAAAATTTACGCCAAAATCTGAATATCCTCCACCACCTATTGAAGTATGAGTATCAAGTATTCTTGGATTACTTTGATCATTCAAATGATATGTCCATACATTTCTACATAGGGAAAAGTATAATATGTTTGATGAAACGAGATGAGTTTTAAAAATGTCTATATGACAACTGGAATGAAAGGGAAACTTATAATGGTATGATTGATGAACAAATGTTTTAACATATCTTGCTATGTCCAGATGTGAATAAAATTTCAGGAGCTACCGTGCGCTACAGTGAACTTGTTAACTTGTTTTTAGATCGTAAGAAAGTAGAAATGGATGGCTTAATATAACACTTTTCTGTTATGTTAGTGGATGAAAGGTTAAAACCACGTATATATATCATTAGGCAATTGTTAATATATTGTGAAACTACCAAGTAGTGATCAGTGTTGAGGTTAGTCACTGATTTCTAGAAAAAAGTCAATTATTGTTATTATCGACATTTGATGCAAACCGTTTAATCACCTACTATGACTTATACTGGTTACTAGTATAAAAGTGGCTTCGATAAAATGTTAATGATGATCGATAGATGAGACTAGTTAGTGAATTTACTGGCTATTAATAATAAGAAACTTAAGAAATATAGACCTTTTAGCAGAAACTTATTGGATTGCATTACATTATCATCAATCAATTAATAAAAAACAATTCCTCATAATGAGTTAATTAATTTTAATGAACAGACACAAGATTGGTTCATTAACCGACTTCAATTGATACTGAAGATTACAGCATAATATACATGAATGTTTGACGATTATGTTAGTAATCCAAACAACAAATCGGCCATATTTATAAAATTAAAATATCAACATTACTGGCCTATGACGTAACAATAACTATTCTAGTCACCATAACAATATTTTAAAATATGAGGTTAAAGAGAAGAAATAAATATCAGAAATCTGAGATCATATCTTTCTGTCAAGGAATATTTACTGAGGCGTGGTGCTACTAACTCAAGGCATCACAATTCCGTGTTGAATTCGTGTTAGAAATTTTTTGTTGTGTAATTGAATTAGTGCTTTGAGTTGGTGTTGTGATTATTATAGTAATAAACTAAAGTTCATTGATCTGGTTATTTATTTGACGATAAATTCATTTCAAGCCACAACTATCAATCGAAATTTTTATAGGAAAAAAATGAAATCATTATTTTGAAAAATACCTAAATCTAATTTGTCAGATTCCTTCTGTTTTTCTACCTTTAAACCCATAATATGCATCATATTCAGAAACATAATGAAAGGGCATCAAAAAGTTTTTGAAAAAACCTGTAAGCTTATATGTATATATTGTATCGTTACATGTAACTTTTGTAGATCGTTAGCTAATTAATTACAATATAGGGTAATTTGAGAAGATGGAGATGAGGGAAGATAAGTATACGTCTGCAAAGTAGTCTGTGATTATTTATGGTTGCCAAACTGCATTAGTAGATTTGTTTTTTTTTCTTTACGATGAATCAATATACGTACGCATTTATCTACATCTACGTACCTTATGCGGTTGCAGGTAGGCGGAAGAAAATCCTGGATCTAAATGTCGTGCTACATATCACCTACAATCTGGAGGGGACTGATGATCCTTGTAGGATTCGAACTGGGATCACTCAGCTTCAGTCAAAGACCTTAACATTGAGCTGTTTGGGGAGAGATTGACCTCCGATAAGACTGGTATCTTTACGCTGATTAATCATCAAGTAGTGACGAGTGTCATGTTTGTTCAGTAAGTTAGTGCTGACAGGATTGTATAAATCGAATTCTAGTGTGGCTACTAGTTGATCTAAGTTGCTCAATATAGCATGCACTGTTTTGATGTTAGATGGTTAGAAGTATTCGGAAATCATTTGGACTAGTAGGCACGGTGAGACTTGCTAGGTACAATTCAATCACGACTATAAAAAAAGAGAATGATAACTAGGTGGTGATCAGTCACCGTATATCTATATGTTTACGGAAAAAAATGCGAGTGGTCAAATTGATCGATTTTATAGTGTTTTAGAGTTTAGTTATTAAGTTAGTATGTTTTTAAGCTACATTAAATGAAGTCTTGTTTACCTGGGTCATACCTGTGCTTGTGATTCAGTGCAAGAGAGAGTATTTTTGCACGTAAATAATCTTTCATGATAGTACAAAGATGCATGGTCTATTAAACGTTAGAATAAGTGATCATCACCTCAAATAACTGGAAACAAATGATCAAACAAAAAAGCAATATACTGTGAAGTAAACAAACTTACGTATGTTCAATTGCATTTCTTATACTATTACCAGGTATCGTGATTTGTCGAACCAATTGTACTGGTGCGTATAAATCCTTTCGAATTTGATAAACTTGCGCTAGAAGAACTTTCCAAAGATTATTTGAATCGCCATAGTCGATTTCCATCTCATGTTTATTCGAATCCGTAGTTTGTATCATGATTACTGAGATAACAAAATATTATCTAAAGCTCTTGGTTTGCTTTCGAATTACATTGTGTTTAAAAAATTACACGTTACAAAATAACCGTGATTATTTTGATTAATCACTAAATTATTTACATCTACTTTAGAGCTTAGTGAAGATTGGTCTACGTTGCATGCAAGGTATAATGAGAAAATAGCGGTATCGGCTAGTTACTTCAAAATAAGTAGGTCACTGAGCTTCATACAAGTGAACAAATGGGTTAAAATTGAATGCTTGGATTAATGAGTTACAATTTCAAAGAAACGTTGTCATTATCAATGCCTGAAATCAACGCTATACACAAGTACAAGAGTAGACATTTCATAAAATTGAGAACACTATATAGACATATGTTTGACTGTGAATACATGAGTCAGGTTTTCATCACATCAATCTGAAAACTTATATACAAATTTTTGGATCTGTTATAGTACAAAATATTATAGAGTGGTCAATGTGACTGTGACTGGAACTTGACAATATTTTGTTACTGGATGTTTAGGAGAATCTATAAATCAAAGCCAGGAAGCACTGGACAGCCGTTTATTGGTGGAAGTACGATCACTAGTATTCTTCGAGATGTAGTTATATAAAGTTGGCAGGTCCTTAATATAGTAGAACATGCTTTCTGAACCTATGAGCCAACTAGACAACTGAGTGAGACATAATATAGTGGCAATGCTTTCTAATAGAAATTCTGTTAAAAGATGTAATTTATGAAATATCTGCAGAAGAATTATGGTATATTATGACAGTGAACATTTCGAAGAATACTTATTTTAGGCCGTTGATCAGTCCAAACAGAATGCTTAGGCGGCTGGGTTTGTTTCAAGTACTTACGTTATTCATTACAAAGAAAATAAACAATAACTTCAATTATCATGGTTCATTATTCCATGGTCTAGGCTGACACAACTTCAATACCTGAGACATTCATCGTAATAGTGTGATGACGGACCACCGGTGAACTCGAGGAAGCTGTAAGAGGCTCAGAAGGAGCCGAAGACGTCTCATCCAATCACCTTTCGGAAGAGTATTCTAGAATTCCAACATGTAGCTTCCCGATTGGATAATGCTAATAACCCCCTGTATGCGGATTGGAAGACTATAATGATGATTTCGTTCTCACTAAAAACTATAAATACCTGACAATTTTGTATTATGATTGACACTGTTTGGAATAATATTCCTCTCGTTGGTCTTCTGTCTTCTTACTGCGACTTGGAAGGGTTTTGGTGTTCTAGTGCTCTGTTATACGCGGTAGTATCAAGAAAAATCAACTTTTCAAGATATAACAAATAGATTTCGTCCGAAGTAGCTTAGTTGTCCCTTGACCAGTGATTATGCCTCCCACAATAAACTGCTAACTACTTGAGATACCGTTAATAACTTGAAAACAAAGTTATCTCAACAACACTTTAGCATTAAGAAGCATGTAGCCATATATAATTAAACACATCAGTATAATGTGTAAGCATACCTGTGGACAACTGATCAGGAGTATTTGTTGAATCACTTTTAGGTGTATTATCTTGATTCGAAACTTCATCCAAAGTATGAAATCTCATATTCACAGGGATTTGACTCCTGACAATACGAGCTACATCAATCGATTTAGCGTTCGGATATGTAATTTGTAGCAAACGACCTGATTCAGGAGCATAGTGAAATTGTGTATAACTTGAATCCTGTGGATTTTTTAAATAAGTTAAGAGACCGTCTGATGAATAAAGAAATTTCCAAAGACCTCCGTTAACTGGATCAACAAGAGTACTAATGCGTTGTCCAGAACCAGGCTCCAGTGTTACATTGTACAGATGACCTGAAATAAAAAAAATTGCATTTAATGAGTAAGACGAATTAAATCCTAGCACTCAGTCACATTACACCGAGTATAAAGATGTCATGGGACGACGTGGACTTGGAGAAAAGAACCAAAATGGTGACGGACTTGCGAATCTGTGTCTTTTCAACAAAATGGTTATAAGTGGCACCATTCTCCCCAACCGGTAGTGGCCAAGCTAAAACTATAGCTAAAGAAGCATTGGAAACCTGACAAACTCAACAATTTCAAGATAGAACCCAACAACAGGTTCCAGACCTTACAAGATCGACTCAAAGAAGAGGAAAACACTATGGGAACAACCGGAAAAGGATTGAATAAGCCATAACTCCGATATTTCAGAAGGTCCTGGGCCGCATGACGCATCAATATGAAGAATATATCTCCATCAACAACTTAAACACGATTCATAATGGGAATGACAAGAGGACAGTAATCAACAACAGCCGAATAAGATCAGAGAAAACCAAAGGACTAACCGAATACGCAGGAGCAAAGAGACAAGTGAGGAAGAGCATTAGAGATGATAAACGGAAATATATGAAAGACCTAGCGACGACAGTAAAAGAAGCTGGAAGAAAAGAAAAGATGGGACAACTATATGACAACCAAAAAGCTAGCAGGAAAATATGATAGGCCCCTGAGATCAGCCAAGAACAAATAAAGCAAACCAATTAATAAAATTCAAAAGCCATGGAACAGGTGGGTAGAACACTTTGAGGAGTTCTTGAGCAAACCAACCTTAATGAACCCACTACACATTGGAGCAGCACCTACGGACCTCATAGATGTCATCCCACCAATGATCGAAGAAATCAAGATGACTATCAGACAAATCTATAGACACAAAACATCAAGACCAGACATTATCCTAGTTAAAGCATTAAAGTCAGATATAAAGGCAAATCGAAAGATGCTCCACGTTCTCTTAAGAAAGATTTAAGAAAAAGGACAAGTACCGACAGACTGAAAAGATGGATGTCACATCAATATACCAAAGGAAGATCATAGCAGGTATGAGGACCACAAAGCCATCGCACTACTATCAGTATCAAGGAAAGTTTTCAATAGTGTTGATGAACCGAATGAAGGATGCAGCATACAGTCAACATTAAGATCGACAAACTAGATTTCATAATGATCTGCCGTGTACCGACCGAATCGTGACAATACGGTTCATTGTTGAACAGTCGATTGAATAGAATCATCATTATACATCAACTTCCTTGACTATCAGAAAGCATCTGGAAATGTGGATAAGAGAAACTTATGCAACCCTCTTTGACCCTATGGTGTACCTCTTTCTTCTGGTGTTTGACTGGATTATGAAGACTTCTACATCTGAGGGGAAGCACAGAATACAATTGATTGTTTAGATGCAATTAGATATTTGGACTTGGAAAATGGCGTAGCTCTTCTATCCCACACACAGCAACAAATGCAGGCGATGAAAACCAGTGTAGCAGCAGCCTCTGCATCAGTATGCCTCAACATACACAGGGAAAAAAACAAGATGCTCAAAAAATACATGAAGAACACCAACCCAATCACACTTAATGGAGAAGCTCTAGAAGAGGTGGAAACTCTCACGTGCCTGAACAGCATAATCGATGAACAGAGAGGATGCGACGCAGATGTAAATACAAGTATTGGCAAAACAAGGACAGCATTCCTACAGTTGAAGAACATATGGAACTCAAAACAACTGTCAACTAGGATCAAACCCATAATCTTCAATGAGAACGTCAAGACAGTTCTACTATCAAATGGTAAAAGTATTTCTAAACAATTTTCTACGCACGATACTTAGTGTCCGTTGGCCGCATACCATCAACAACAACTTACTATCGTAGAGGGCAAACCAGCTTCCATCTGAAGAGGAAATTTGGAAAAGATGCTGAAAGAGGATAGGGAACACATTAAGGAAATTATCAAACTGCATCACGAGGCAAGCTATAACTTGGAATCCTAAAGGGAAATGGCAATGAGGAAAGCCAAAGAACACACTGCGTCGAGAATTGGAAGCAGACATGATAAAGATGAATAGAAGCTGGAAAGGATTTCCCAGGAAAGAATTGGATCGAGAATGCTGGTAGAAACCCTATACTACTCTATGGGGGGTAACAGGCATGAGCAAGTAATCTTGAGATATAATTGTCTATTACTTCTTGGTTATTTCATTCTACAATTAGAGTAAAACATTGCTTCATCTGTGAAAGATTTTTGGAAAGACAAGTTTCACTGGAGGCTGCAATCGATCATACCGAAGTGCTCAGGAAAACAGCTGACCATCCTGATGAGAGACCCAAACGCCAAAGTCGGGATGGGCAACACCGGGTATGAAGATTTATTGGACAACATGCACTAGGGAAGAGGAACGAAAATGATGAGAGATTTGCAACTTTATGTGCACTCAAAAAGTGGTTATATACTGCACGGTATTCCCACACAATCGCACACACAAAGCTACATGGGTCTCACCGGATAACACCACACAGAATAATTCGGAAACCCAGTGGATGGTATGAGAACAAGGAAAGTAGCCGACATAGCTTCAGATCACCACTAGCTGGTTGTGGCTAAGATAAAACTGAGGCTAATGAAGCACTGAACAACTGGGAAACAGCAGTACCAAGGTTTAATACAGCCTTTCTTCGAGATACTGACAAACCCAACGAACTCCAGATAGCTCTCAACTACAGCTTTCAAGTCTCACAAGATCTACTCAAAGAAGTGGAAACTACTATAGAGGACAAATCGAAAGGGTCAAAGAAACACTGATTTCTACGTGTCAGGAGGTGTTCGGCCACAACAAGCTTCATCATAAGGAACAGATCTCTATGGAAACCCTAAACAGGATTCAAGAAAGGAAGAACAAGAAGTCAACAATTAACGACAGTCAAACAAGAACAGAGGAAGTCGACGCGCTGGCTAGATACACAGAAGCAAACAAGAAAGTGAGGAAGAGTATTAGAGCTGATAAGCAGAAATATGTGGAAGACCCAGCAAGGACAGCGGATAAAGCTACAACAGAAAGAAATATGAGACAACTATATGATACAACGAAATTTTGTGCGGAAAATAATGGCTATGACTATTATGATCTAACTGACCTAGTGTTGTAGTTTGTCTTTGTGTTATACTGTCATATCTTTTACGTTTTGTTAAAGGCAATTCATACAGTTATGCCACGAAATATGTTAACTGAATTACGACCGTGAAGAAACCACGGAATGAGTAAATGTTGTCAATTTCGTATTGTTTACCCAGTTTCAAGATGTACGTTTCAGATGCTGTTATGATGCAATGCAACCAACAAGTAAAAATAAAAGAGCAACATTTTACCTGTTGGGGTTTGAAGGCGTAAAAGATTTCCATGTGTATCACGATGTATACTTAATTTAATATTATGATCGTCACCACGAATTTGTGAAAGCCAACCGCTTATTTCATTATTACGATAATCCAGTCTATGTGATATCATTTGAGTAGTTGCACTCTCAGTTGAAATCAATTGGCCATAAGAACCGAATGAATCGATTTCATCTGTTTGTGAGTATAGTATACGATATGTGTTGCCTGTTTCAGACTTTTCCGGCAATTGATAATGTATACGATATACCTGTTGCATAAATAAAGCGTGAAGTGAATCGTGAAGTAACAAGTATAGAAAATGAATTGCAACAAGAAAATACAAACTGATACCAATAAAAGTGAGGATATCGAGATGAAAATGGTATTTTAAGAAAATTCTAACATATGGTATCTGAAATAAATTCAAAAACCAACTGATAACAGAATCTAATCGGTAAAGTTTCAGTCGGGATTTAAGACTCATACTCGTGGTGATAAATTTTGTTAATCATCATTGAGTAGGCAACTTAGTTTGTTTAGATATCGGTGAAACTTGAGAACGGAATGAACACCTGTGCTATAATGCCTGTCTTTCGTTCACGTAACATCCAGGCTAAGATAGATACCCAGTTACTAAATTAAAATTACCAGCTAAGTCTTAAGCAAAGACGGATAATGACTAGCAGTCAAATACAAGACGCGCTTTTCATCCTATTTGGGACTCGTTAGATGGACGCATCTGCATCCCGAAGTCGATGTTCAATCTAGGACTCAAACCCAGTACCGTTCGCTTCAAACGTCATCGCGTTATCCACTTAGCTACCGAGTCCTGATAGCGACTAGCTTGTGCAATGGAGAGAAGTTTAAATTCACTGTACACTGCTTATTTGAATCTTCCCATTGAAGTGGACGGTAACGGGTTCGAGTCCCAGGGTGAACATCGACTCTGGAATGCAGATACAGCCAACCGACGAGTCCCAAATAAGACGAAACGCGCGTCCTGAATATCCACTGCTAGCTACCATCCATCTTTGTTTATAATGCTTGTGACTTAAGGAAATATCGATGCAATCCGCACAGGGTGCACACACGCCGATAAGAGACTGATCAATCGCAATCCTAAACATCAATGTGAAGATTCAAATCAACAATGCAAAATGAATTTTACTGGTCAAATCATTCAGATATCGATATTTTACATGCAACAGTCGTCTGAGTTCCCTATATTGGTAATAAATTTGCATAAATCAGTTAACAGTCTAGTATTAATTGACATCGATGTCATTACGTCTAATTCTTGGCTCTGGTTGAGATCCAAATAGGTTACAATGAAGTCATCAAGCGAAGTAACTCAGAATTTTGTACACTTCTCTTCAATGCTAGGTGACTGCAGGTAATGGACGGGACACGCTGGACTTGCGTTTCATCTTTGTTAAAACTTGTCAGCAAGAGAAATCTGCAATTTTTAAGAATATGATCCCAGCCATAGGGTTCCAATGCGTGTAACATCTAGAGATGCTAACACTGAACTATTGAAGCAGTAGCTTGCCAAAAACAGAATAGAATAGCATTTCCTTATTAATCTAGTGTATCTGTCTGTAAATAATAATTTATCTTTAGCATCAAATGTTGAAACTGGTCCTAATTTATCGATCTATCAAAAATGTGGTAGAATAAAATGTGGTTTAGGATTCAGAAATACAGGTATCGATGGGCTGAGCAAATAAATACTAAATCAGACAAACATATAGGAATGTGTCTCCACCTGGGGTAGAACTCTTTAATGCCATGAAAAATTATTCAATCATAATAATTCTGCATGAATACTTGATATGTAAGGGTGTAGACATTACATTTTCAAAGATAACTCAAATAAAATCGGTACGTGAAAACTATTCTTTGAATGATCATTTTCCAAGAACTGTCAGTCAAAGCAATATTTCACTTACATACTTTAAACCAATAGGACCTGCAAGATATTTTCAGAATTTCGTAAATTATTACCATAACTAGCTCAGATTATTTAATTAAAGGATCCTAAGAATAAGTAAGCTTAAATAGGTTAACTAGTTTGTCTAGATCCGAAAACTGTTTTTGAATCCACGGTTTTATCAACCTCGTATAACAATAGTCTTCGATATTCGGCCCCCATGTGCTGATTTTTATTACTTTTTTCATATTTATGAAATTAAGGCGAAAATGCACTTTAAACTTCGGTATATGAACATTAAACTGACTGGCGATTGTATTTACAACTCCTTGTTTTTTTTTTCACTTACTAAGTTAACTTTACAGTTATTATTCGTTGTTTGGGGATAATCTAAGAAATGCAGCTAAGTTGAGAACAGAATGTAATGACTGTTTTCCTATAAATGATAGAAAGCCAGTAACACCAGTGACGAAAATCGATTATAATCCGTATGTGCTCTATTTACAACAAATAAATGTATTGCCGCAAACACATCTAACTATCACTTGCATTTAATTAGCCTTCCACTTAATTCACTTTCATTAAACGTACAACCAAGTATAAGTTCTAAAGTCGTTTTTATCAGTGTAGAGTTTTGTGGAGGCCAAAGAATCGTCAAAGACTATATCACGAAATGACTTTAGTTTGACCACTAATGAAAACCTGGAACCAGGGGATGTCTGTTTCGCTCTAGTACGGGACTGCCCAATAATGCATATTTACGACCCCGCAACCGGGAATCGTACCCAAGGACTTAAGTCTCGTGTATAAACATCTAAACTCTAGACCATTCAGCCAAGATTCAACAGTATTAATGTCCAACTTCAATCAAATCACAATATTGCTCAACTATCACAGTGCCAGGACTGGATAACCGTCTCATATTCAACATGGTTGAACTCCGTCGCTCACGATTTTTCACCAAAACTCCAGGAATTATATCTAAAAGCTAGTCCAAGTTTAGAGGAGTCTTACACTAGGACGAAACGACTGTCCAGCAATTCCAGATTTTCAGTGATGGTCAAACTAAGATCAGTTGGTGAACACAAAGTTTGAAAACCATCTCTGTCCGTTTTAATCGTAGTGTCAAGTTTTAGTGAATATTTTCATAGAAATTATGAGGACTTAAGTGGCAAACAAGTTACTTAAAATCCTTTCGTTTTTAGATACGATAGAGCATTTAATGATTTGATTCAGATCAGACGACTCAACTGCCAGCAAATATCTATAACAACTGTTTATTCCCAACTATAATTTGTTTCTTGATGCTCCTACTAGTGATGGAAGTGATTTCGCATTAAACAATAACTGTTGAGTAAATTGGTCGACTTTTGTTATAATTTACGCCCATTAAACACAAAAGAGGAAGACTTCTAGTCCGTAGATAGGCCACAAAAATAGAAAAAAACAAAGTAGCTTAATCTATCAAACAAACTGAGTGGTCTGGGCACAGTGTGCCAGAGCAGTATAATGCGAGATAGCCATTTGTTATTGTTATCTAGGGTAGAATGACCTTCGAGAAGACGCCTGACACGAATTTGTAAAGCCTATGAAAGTGGTACAATGAAGATAGACAAATACGCTCGACACAGTGACCAGATGCGGTAGAATAGATAGATTACTTATTTAACAACAAAAGTATGCGTAATCATGGATATCAAATAAAAGAGAACAGTAAATTCAGCTGAAATGAAACAGACTAGAATGTCTAACTTATGTGTTTTTAGGGTTTATTCAGTAGCACAACGTGCATCATGCAAAATCACCACAGAGTGAAATTCAAACACTGCAATAAAATCACAATCTGTACAGTGTATGGCTCGCATTAGAAAAGATTTAACTGTACAGCAGAAAACAATCTATTTCCTCTCGTGAAATCGCACAACCAAACAGGCTGTTGGCAAAGGTAACTATTCATTTTTCGTGTATCACAGTAGAACAGCTTGCTCTAACACAAAAAATGTTTTGACACGAGTAAAGATGGCAATCTCGATGTTGATATCATTAAGGAAAATAAAATTCTATGGAAATTAACAAAATAAGAATAGAGCCGTATAAGTATTGTTGATATTTTAAACTTACTCTGTTATGTGAATTATCGGCTACAAATAGTTCACCAAATAAACTGACAGTTATACTGCTAATACTGTTAAATGAAAACTCATTGACTAATCCTAAATCTATAACACTTTCATCAGTGCTAGAATGACGTTTCTTTGAATTATTCACACCTCCCTTGAACTGTCTAGGTTGACTAGGATGAATTCCAGTAATAGGATACAAGCGATTATCATTCGACCGACGGATCCATATATGCTGAGGTCCCGCGATAAACAAATCACCTTGAGGTGATACACTGAGACCACGAATATCACCTAATTCAACTTGTGTTGCCAGTGGAGCAAAACTCCAATCATCTGTTTTAATAGGACAGCCTTTAAGGCGTCCAGCTGCTAACGATACCATTTGATTGACTAAATGGTAACGATAAACCTAAAAAACAATTACATATTCACAATTATTACGACAAATTTTTTTTAAATGTTATGTTATCAATTTGTTGATATATTCTAATGGTTGCTATAGGATTTTAGCAAAAAATTCGTAACCATTTTCTGTGAATATTACATCATTTGCAACTAACACACCTGTCACTTTAGTATATATCGACTTGGTGACTTGATAAGACATCTCAAATTATTGGTTAAAATAACAAACGAGATTTTTGTGTTTTTAGATGGTAGTGCAAGCGAAATAAGACTATTAGTAGCAAACGCTAAAAAAAGTTATCGTTTTTAGTTATATTATAATGTACATTTGATATTTTCGATCTTAACATGTTACAATTTTCTTATTCAATGTTCTAATTACGCTTTGCCTACTTGCTAATAGTGCTTGATTTAGCATTAGTTATGTGGAATTCAACAAAGTAAATATATTTCTTACTAACGACATTTCAAAAAAGAATAACCTTGAATATACTCCATTTACCTTTGATTACACATACAGATAAAAAGATGCATAACTGTCTTCCATATAGTATGACCAAATAGCAATACTTCATTTTTAACAAATATGATTTCATTCAATGGTATATGTATGAACTCATTCGGTTGAGCTTAACCCAAACCAAAAAGTTCGCCAGTATTTCTTGTTAAGTGTTTTGCAAAGATTCGGTTGAAGGCTTACACTTTTTTTCATATCATTGACCATAAGGGTACCTAACTGAGTGTGCAGAGTGCAGCAAAGAATCGAATCTCAGATTGATCCTAAGTTATTCAAATATGACAGATTCTTAGGTAATGGATTTTAAAATGGTCCCAACCCTATCACACAAACTGCAATTAAAGTCTTCTAAAACACTTAAATTACAGTGAAAATCTAGATAAATTTGATATAAATTATTAAAGATAATATTGAAGACATGGTGAGTCCATAATCTATCAAAATTAATCGAACAGATTTCCTGATAAACACGAGGTTCGTTAATCATTTGAAGATAATCAACATGACGTTAAGTTTTAGTAATAATTCTGTCCGAAGTTAATAGTGGTCTCATTTAGAGATAAACTTTTGGTAATTATCAATGCTAAGAAGCGATTTACATATTAATTACGATAAAGTTTTTTCTGATTACACAGAGCAACAGGCAGGTATTAGTGCACTTTCACTTTAAGTCAATGAGAGAAGTTTGATCATTATTCATGAACGGTTAAGATTATTCCGAGTGTACATATTACTAAAGAATGTAACCTATGAGGGGAAAGGTTTATGATTATATCTGAAACTTTATCAGCCATTCGATTAGTGTAATTCCCAACAACTTTTAACAAATCTGTAGAAACTGTACAGATTTGTGAGTTTTGTAAGAATTAATTTATTCTGGAATACAGAGGGAGATAGTGTTTACTTTAAACTTAGTTGAATGTTGCTGATTGATACTACATTCATACTATATTTGTTAGACAGCTCATAGCCTCGAATAAATAATTATTTAACAGGTATTATACAGTCATTTAGCATCTAACAGATGGTTTTAGGGGAAAAATATTATTAATGAGTTGTTTAACGAAGTCAGTGTTTCAAGCAAAATGGTTTTTCCAGAATTATAAAAACTTACATGGCCGTTATCAGAGAAGTATAATGTTTGCTCTAAGGTGCTAAATGCCAAGTGTTCAGGATTATTTAACAACATCTGATTTCCTGGGACAGATCGGTCACAAGGTGGTATCGATGAAGATGGAGTTGTTTTTGGAGTACTGGTCCCTGAGGTAGTTGTGTTAAGTGACTTTGGATTTGATGAATAATTTGGATCACTTCCAATTACAAGTCGGGAAAATGGGATCGTACTAGAACCAGTTTGCCGTAACGACAATGACCAAATAGATTGAGAATCGATAAAATACAATTCCTATATATTATATTGGGAACGAAAAGTATAAACAAACTTAAAACAAACAAACCGTTATAAAAAAAAACAATATTATACAAGTAAATGAGACAAAATGTACCATATTATACGACTTTTTGGTAAATGCTGTTAATAAACAGTCTACAAATAAATTTGAAACATATTTATTTATTTAGTTCACGAACAATTGATACAAAACCGAGTATCTCTATCCCAATTTGTTTAATAGAACGTATATGTATATAATCAATTAATGCATGACTTGAAATAAAGCAAGTAATTTGTTCAGTTATCAAGTATTGTGAAATCTATAGAGTGAAATACAGTTTTCGTATTTATTGTTTTAATTACGTTTTACCTACTTGCCAGTAGTATACAATTTACGGAAACATTTGAACCGAAATTATACTTCATACTACATTGTGCTAGTATTAATAACTTGTTCTGTAAATTTGGTCTATCTAAAATACTATCTATGAAACAACGGATTGATTGAGTCGCTAATATGATTGGATAACACATTCTGTAAGAGATAATAACATTGTTGATTGGTTTAGTAACTAAGGTGTTCGCAGATAAAATTGTACTGAACAATAATGTCTAGAATTAATAATAAAATTAGTTTTCTTTAAATAATAAAAAGAAAATCGAAATTGTTTAATATATGTTTGAATAAAAATTCAACTGACACAAAAAAAATTTCATGCACATTTGATTTATATCAATTGACCCTTCGAAATGAAGTGAATCAATAGTGATCTGGATTCCAGAGGCAGATTTCATGAAATCGATTGCAAGGAAGACGAATAATCATAGAAGAGGGTCCGTATTATCACAGAGTAAACAGATATGAATGAATAGGTAATAAAGCTAGATACCTTATTTACACTAGAGAGATCAACAACCACATATTTGCTTTTTTTTCGAACAACGACCACTATCTACCAACCAAAAAATTGATTAGACCACTAAGTTAAATTACAGTTGGATGTAAATGACTGCTAGAAAAAGACCCGATGCTTTATATGTGTGCTTTATACATGAGTATTATTGGATGTAATATTTAGGAAGTGTATGTTTCGCGTATTCAAATTACATCTAAATAGTTCACAGATACAGTTTCTCATTTAAACGACGTGGTAAGGATCCATATGTGGTAGCAGAAATGAAAACATAAATCTTACATAAAGTAATAAATCAAAGAGTTCCCATTAGATTTCTTTTTTTCGCTCAACACTAAATTTATATTTTCACAGTTTTTTGAAATCATGAGTCAGTTGAATCTAGACCACCATTGAAAACCTGGAAGCACTGGACGGCCGTTTCGTCCTGGTATGGGACTCCTCAGCAGTGCGCATCCACGACCCCGCACCACGCGGGGCTCGAACCCAGGACCTACTGGCTTCGCGCGCGAGCACTTAACCACCAGACCACTGAGCCGGCATCCAACGGTGTTAATGTCTAACTTCAACCAATCCACGAAGTTGCGCCACCGTACACCATTGTCTTCAGTGAGTTGTTATCTCACAACAGACCGGTTGAACTCCACTGGTAACGGCTTCTCACTAGAACTTTAGGAGTTTTTCCTGAAGTCAGTCACTAGTGAGCAGTTGATTATTATTATCAGAATGGGTTTTGTGGAGAATTTTAGAATTTTCACAGTTTTTTTTGAAATCATGAGTCAGTTGAATCTAGACCACCATTGAAAACCTGGAAGCACTGGACGGCCGTTTCGTCCTGGTATGGGACTCCTCAGCAGTGCGGGGTCGTGGATGCGGACTGCTGAGGAGTCCCATACCAGGACGAAACGGCCGTCCAGTGCTTCCAGGTTTTCAATGGTGGTCTAGATTCAACTGACTCATGATTTCAAAAAAAACTGTGAAAATTCTAAAATTCTCCACAAAACCCATTCTGATAAATTTATATTTCTGTAAATCACCCAACAAAAACTATTGAGTGCAGCAAAATGGAGCTGTAAAATAGTTTATGTACAACAAAAAGAAACAAGCACACACCGTTTGTGTAGCGACAATTCCTTTAGGGGATTTCAAATTCTGTTTAATACAGAACTCTTGGTAGTTGAATGCAGTTGAGGACGATGATTCAGAATTAATGTTAGATTTAGAGCTTGGCAATTGACAATTTCCTCCAATAAGTAAGTGTGCTGATAAATTTGGTGTAGTTTTTAGCCACCATATGCTTTTACTATTCGTGTGTGACAGGAATAATCCATTTGAAAGGTCTGCTCCACCAACATTTCCACTGTTCCCTAATAATGTTACCATAGTGTAATCGTTTGTACGATATATATAATTTGGATGAACAGTTATGAAATAGTTTGTTAACTGATCTTCATCAAAATTAGATTGAAGAAAGTCAAGCTTGTAATCAATTATTGTTGCCCATCTTCTACGATCATTACGTTTCAATTGTTCTTGAAATGGACTGTTTAGTGAATCTGATCTTATCAGTGGTGCCCTAAAAGATAGTGAGGATTGGGAGGAAGACGATAACACTGATGAAGACCTGGAAGGTAAGTGTAGAGAAAGAATTTTATGACGTTTGAATTAAGAAAAGAATATTTATTCAATATAAAGTTGGGCAGTACAAATTATAGTTGATTTCTGATCTTTGGGATGTAATGAACAAATGAATTTAGGAAACTCAGTGAAAATGTCAATTTGGCAGTCGGCAGACCTAACTCGATAGTTATAATTACACGAAAACAAAATCAGACAGTTTTTTTAATCGAAAAAATTTCATAATCTAATGAAAATTGAAATTCTTGGTCTTTCCTGGTCATTGAAGAAGCGATGTATACATAGTGATGATTATAGTTCTACAAAGTCTAAGTATAGTTTCAGGGATAATAAAGATGGATGACATGAAATAATAGTTTATCAAACAAGGACAAAACAGTATTTTAAGTGATATGTAACTTCCAGAAAGTATTTATGGCGGAAACAAAGTTTCTAGAGTAAACGATTTAAGTTTAATGTAATTGCTTATAGATTAGCACCAGATTGAACACAACACAAAGAATAACATTCATTTTATTAATCTATTTCGTTACACAATTTTAATGTATCCAAAACAAATATATAAAATAAATAAAATAAAAAGTGAATATTACAAATTAACCTACTTGTACTCCTCGGCTGATTTAGTTGAATTTAACCAACGTAAAAATCCCCCATCTCCAATTAAAAGATTGCCAACTGAATCAGTTAGTAAACAGTATGGGTTACGTAGAGATAATTGTCGAGTTGGTTTATCATTAATTGAACATTGACTACAGTCGTTTGGCGGTCGACGTTGTTCAGCTAGTCCAATGACTGCACTAATATGCCAGTCTGTTTGTTTCAAGTAGAAATGTGAGCCATCACCGCTTAACAAAATTAAACGAAATAATAATTAAGCCATATATATAAACCATGTACCCAGTAGCCAAATCTTTGATGTCCCGATGAAACATCTATTTTTTCAACCTTGCAAATATCCCAGGAAATGTTTCGGTTTTTTATTTATTTTAATTAATTAATCATGTATGTTCAGCGCCTACTTTACTAAAGCTCTATTTTGCGAAGCTAAATACAAGCGGGAACCTCACGATGCTTGGTGTACTTTTCTACATGTATCTTCTTTGGAGAGGCTAGAGATGATTTCATAGAAATTCATGACGAAATCAATGTGCTTTTCACCAGTAAAGTAATTCTTAACACGACGGAGTAAGAGGCTTCATCTTCTTAGCGATAACTCAATCGGTTGCTTATCAGCTTTGATCTTTGACATTCGAACAGTTACAATCTGGAGTTTGATTGGCTTCATACACATTAATCGATTTGTCAAATTCAGCTTCGTATTCAGTGTGATGAAAGAAATTTTATATCCCAGAATGTAGAAAGTTGAATCTCTAATATTCGAGAACCTAATGTAAGCCGCTTCTTCACAGAATAAATAATTAGCGGAATTAGATCAATACAAGCTTTATTATCATAAACAATCCACCCAATGCCTAATTAATTTGAAGTTATCAGAAGTTATTCAGATATTTTACTAACCATATCACCACTGCATAATATAAATGCTCGTATAGTGGAACTTACCGATAAATAATCCCATGGCTAACCGCATACGTATGTAAAATATTTAAATTCCAATTAGCTAAATCTGAACTGATTAGTTCGCTTCCGGGTAGTTGGACAACTCGATATTCCCAGAAAATACGTGGACAGTTCGTGTATACATAACCAACAGATACTAAGAAAAAAGATTAAAAGGGATTTAGCCGTAACATAAATTTCGCAAGATTAGATCAACATACAGTTAAACGTAAAGTTATTGATACCAACAGAAATAAAAGAATGACTGAGCTTAATAATTTTCAAACGTAAAATTTATATTAAGAATTGTTTGCTTGAAATGATAGATCAAAAAGACGTTGGTATTGCAAATATTATTCACTTTAAATACTAGGTGGCCGGAGGCTACTGGCAAAAGGCTTCGCACGTAGAATTCTTGCTATTAGGCATTCAATGGTACAGGGTGTCTGTAAAACTGAGGAAATGGACACTCGCCATGAGATTTGAACTCATGTCGTCTGCTATCACAATCGGCTGCATTTACCCTGAGCTATCCAGGCTGAGACTGACTTTTTATTGGACTGAGATATTTCACACCGGTTAATTACTAAATAATAAGTAATGTCGTATTTATCTAGACTTTAGTGTTGATAAAATTCTGTGAATTAATTTGTAATGTGTTAAGGGATATATTTTCATTGGTTGGTTGTCGCTATGAAGAAATTCGATCAGTATTGAATATTGGATAGCATAAAATTGATTACTGCTCCGTCACCAATCTGCGTATTATTCAGTTTAATGCCCAGTTAACACTTTTTGATGGACCGATTCTGATGGGTATTATCATCTGATCAGAAACATTGGTAGTTTCATCTTTTCTTTATATTCACACTAAACAGAAACTGATTTTTATATAAACAGAATTATTTGTTGTTCAATGTTAGAGTTCCAATAAAACTTTAAGTGTTGTAAAAGAACTTATTCATCAAAATTAGAAAAGTAATTGTAAACAATCAACATTAAGGTGAACAATTTACAATCTATTGAACAAATTCATTGGTTTAACTAATTTTAGTCCAGTGTCGTGATGTCATCATAACAAAAATATGTTTGTGTGTATGAAATATTCATTGTTATAATTTACAAAGAAAATCTTCTGTGATGTGGAAAAATCACTAGGCTAATCTTAAAGAAAATTCACTTTAAGTGAACCAAACAATGTTATGTTTTAAAATTGAGAAATTTCAATTCTGTATTCAAAAAATGTAGACTAAAGCTTATTTAATCTAAATGGATGATATTGAATTTATCAATTGACAGCTGAACTTCTTCACATTTGTTACAAGGCGCCAAAAAAGGATGATTAATCGAGATGATTATTATTACAAAGTAAGAAAGATTAATTCGCTGAAAGGAATTTTACGAAATTTAAACAAGTTCTTTATTGCTACTTTTCAAATATCAATTTCCATAATTATGTTACAATCTCACTGATTTCATTTTTATTCATTAATTAAATGGGATATTTCCTATTCCATTATAACGATTGTTTTTCTATGTATGAGTATATCCAAAAAGGTTGTATTTAAACTTGTAGATAATAAATGAAGTAGTTACGAAGTTGGTGGTAAGTAGTAGTGATAGAATTGTGATATTCGAGTTTAGAACATTTTGATCATAGAAGATACTTACGATTACTCAGAACAATGATAACTTATTCGATAATATAAAAAGCCACACATGGTCTAATTATTAGCATTTTAACCAAAAGCTTTCTTTTAGAATGAAAGTTAATAATAGAATACATTAATTTTTAAACACCATATAGCCTCACAGTTAGTTTGTGGAGGGCAGTAGGTAACTATATTTTGGTGTTTAGGCAGTTTAAAGAATCCTAACAACAGTACCAATCAATGAACAAAAATAACCTTAATTTGTGTCAGTTTATAGGTGAAAATATGTGTTACTAGAAAATTTTCATCTGTTCTCTGACTTAGTTGTCATATTATACAACAAATTGTTGCCTGATTAGTTTCTTGTTTGTTAAATGTCAATAAAGCAAGTAGATCGCTTAAAATTGCATGATCTTGTGTAGGTTTATTTCATTCTGTTGTGCACTTATCAATTTTGATCAGAACCAATAAGTTCATAGTTCTTAGTTAGACAGTGGTCCTTTACCTCAATGAGGGGAATTTTTGGGTAAACTGATGTTGGTTATGTGAACATCAGTCACGGTGGGAAATTCCTTTTTTTCGAGTTGTAATTAACGTTTTATTTAGCATAAAGTACTTCTTCAATAAAGTCTACAAATAAATTCTTGCGAAGCCATACAAAGTAGCCATCCCGATTACGGTCCACTAACATATGATATTAAGCGATGGAGAGAGATTTCTTTAATGAATTGAATCATATAAACTGGAAAGGTGAATGAAATCAGGTCATAGAAATGTAAGAAGAGAAATAATAGAACACATTCAGCAATAATACACAAGTGTAGTTTTTAAAAATCTTCCTTATTTAAATAAAGTAGTTGATACGTTAAGATACATGCTTGAGACGGTTTTAAACATTGTATCAGAACACTAGAAGCAATCGAATCTTTACGATATATCGTAGATTTGTCAATGAAAAAATAGCATCAGATAAAAATATAAACAGATACTTACCTTTAGCTTCAGCTAAACCATAAACAGAGCGATTGTAACCATCCGTTTTATTCCAGTAGAAAGTGTTTAGTAAGCCAGGTTCAGGTTCTAAGAGCTTTACGTGACGTTGACCAGCAATATCAATTACTAAGTGAATTTCTTTCAAATTCAAAGGTGGAGCGCGATTTGATGCTAACAAATGAATAGATATACCAGGTTTGTAGCCGGAAGTGCGATCGGAACGGTATATAAGCCGCAGTTGTGTATCCTATATGATTACAGATATACAATTAAAATGAGAATTTGGTTGACTGGAGTAAACGCTGGTCATTCACATTTAATGAATTTGTATTAATAGTGGTTTTCTGGTTTATAATACTCCAAGCGTCCGGAAAATTCAATAGCCCTAAGTTCTAATTTCAGATCAGAATATTCGTTTAATATACTTACCCTTTTATCTAATTATTCGCTTTTTCTGTTAAAACAATCACCGGAAGTGACTTAAAAATTTCACACTGATGACCTTTAAAAGTGCCTTTGCAACTATATAAACAACAAAACTGTAAAAATAGTAAGTTTATTTATTGAAAGCGAAATATCCGAATTGAGGTGAAATTCAATTATTGTATACCTAAATAGAATGCTATCACTGAGTGGATTTACTAGCTGGCGGATGATGGCATATCCGATGTATACCTTACACGAATCTCTTTATAAAGATTATTAAAAATATTCGGTTCTTTTCATCTGCCAAACCGAAATTACCGATCAAATGATTACAGAATATACATGAAAAATTAACAAACCTTTATCGGAATATTATACATCAATGCTCCATTTCTGACGCATATGACATTTTGCTCATCTAGGCAAATAGTAGAAATATCCATTAATGAATTGCTTTGTATATAAGGACCACCAAGTGTAACTATGTCATGTATATTTCCACTAGTACATAAATTTTCTACGACTATATTTTTATCTGAGAACTTGGGCATAAAACTGTTCATAATCCATAGATCCCCGTGTATTGGTGATGGACCAAGTGTACCCCCCAAATCCCCTGATATAATATTATTTGTAGTAGTTTTCGTTGTTATTGTTGTGGGTAGGTCATTATTTGATAATTGTTTAGCATCATACATATAAAAATCACCCATATTGACAATTTGATTAACAGGCACATATAAATTATGTATGGCTGAAAATCGATCAGTCGGATACCGTAAGAATTCTAACTGAACAATTGTTCCCCATCAACTGGTAAGTCAAATCTGCAATAAATATTTCGAAAAAGGAACACGAAAAGATTAATGAGCTGCATAATATGGTACTTTGAAGACGGGACACGGTAAAAAGAAAAAAAACTAGGGTTAGGACCTCACTCAAACTAGTTTCGATCTAGGATGCTACACTTTTTGAAAGAACAGCAAGAGCACATTAACGGAAATGTCAAGACACATACATACTAAACAAGAAGCATATGAAAGGTAAAGGAATTAACAATAGTAAGGCATCAAAGTTATACGGGAAGATTGAAAGCGATTGTAAATTTAATCCTATGGTCGACTTTGAGTAATCACAACTACGATCCATAATTATTCCCAAGAACCGTTCGGAGGGGGACTTTTCTAGTTGACCAAAGACTTGAATGACAAAGTAACAACAACGTTTGGTGTTTTGTCGTGGTTAAATAAACATTTGTTCACTGAAAACACTTGCTACTGTATAGTAGTGGGTTAAAACACCACTAAGCCTTTGTTTTCACATAGAAAGACGAGGGATACAACCTCGTAATGAAACTGTAGGTAAACCAAAACTTGTAACCAACTTCTTTAAACGTTATGACAATTTACACACTTAATGGATGACATTGATTAAACATTAAGTATAATACATTAAAATCCCAGCTTTGACACTGTTCGATTGATACATATATACACAAAAGAGTTCTGTCGGTGGAAACAAATAAACATTTCTGCAATGGTTCCCATTAAAATTATATGTACATTAATAACAGAGAAGTAGAGAATATACTCTTTGCCTACCACTTTTCCATATCGATTCTTTATCTACATACAAAAATCAAGGTAAGCAAATGAATTCTTTGATACAAATTACTCAATAGTGCATCAACCACTCGACTTTCACCTACTGCATAACAAGTTTGAACATTGTTATCACTACTAGGGCTCAGAGGTAAAACCATATTTTAAAGCCGATTATATGAACTTATATTTAAGTAATTCGAATTTGGAAAATTAACTGACCTTCCATTTTTATCAGTTAGTGTATATCCATTTTGCATATTAGCTCGATCGGATACACGACAACCCCAAAATACAGTTCCATCCCACTGACGAACCACACCACGAACAACGGAAATACGTCTGAACAATGTAAATGCACAACACGATTTAAAGTAATTAAAATAAAATAACAGTAATGCTGTCAAATAATAAGCGAATGTAGTTCAAATATACATGGATTTGTAGACGCTAATAGCATACAGAAATTACAAAAGTAAGTAATGAATTGTATGAAAAAATCATCCCAGTAAGTTAGTAAACCAATGTTTTCTTTTATAAGAATCTTAAATGATTAATTACGTTTTTGTTTATTTTAATGAAACTGATGAGCGAGGTGATAGATTTTTTAGTTATATATTAAATAACTGATGACAAAATATATAGGCTTTTATTGGCATCGAAATATAATAATTATAGTTAATCTCTGAATGTTGTTTGTCCCAACTCGTAGACCTAGTATTAAGATTGGAAATTAAGCCTTGAAACCGAATTTTGATGGTATTGACACCTCGATTCTTGACGCATACTATAAAATAATTCAAATAAAATCAAGATGACAGTAATGGAAATATATGTTTTAAATAAAAGGGGTTATTTAAACAAAATTCAAGGTCTATGATATGCTCGCGGATGACCTTGAGATTCAGGAAAATCAATATTTAGGAGTATTCCAGCTCTTTAATACTTACAATATGAACTAAAAAAATGTTGACAAAATGGCTTTATCACTTTCTGTAGATGAGATGCCTTTTCGAAAAAACGCACCGTAGCCATGAAATAAGTAAAAAACACCGTAGGATTTTATTTTTAAAAAAATTACGCTGCGTACATTTCACCATCACTAAATGCATTCAGAGGTTCGCAATACAAAAAAATACTAGTTGAGTGTACAGGGTATTTTTTTTTAGAGAGAACATTGTAAGTGTCTACTAGGATTATGATGTCTTATCCCTTGCTCTAGTAGCGTATATATTAAGCAATTGGACATTTAAAAAAGTCACTTCGTTAATGGACAATTTTACATCCGATAAACTGTGGTACATAAAATAAAAATATGGAATAAATGCTTGTCTATAATATGCAAAAACCAGTCGACAGAAAGCCTAAGACTAATCAACAAAAACAAAATGTTTTAGCGGATAGCTTAGACGAATCGGTTGTTGATTAAATTGTGAATTTCCAAGCCTGAAGAAAAACCTGACAGGTGGATTTTATTATATAATAACTACTTAGCACAAAAATATAACTATGATGGGGTGTTTTGGTTATTAGAAAGATTTGGAACATTCAAAACCGTAGATAAAAGAAATTAACAAGAAGTGTGAGGGAAAGACAGTAATATTTAAAGGACTATAGTAATGAAACATCAGACTGAATTTATTTTCCTCTAATCATTGTCTTCATACTTGGTTAATTTTTAGAGATTTTCCTACTTGATGAGTTTCTACTCGTTCAGTCTTCGATGTTTGAGTATGAACTAGCCTAGTTTCTTCTACTGATTTAACTAGAAAAGATTTTTACTGGCCAGTATAACTGTTTGTTTCCGAAGACTTCAAAGTGATATATGCACGGCACGTAACGTACTTAGGTCATTTTATTTTGAAGTCTCTTTCTGATGTTGTATACTGTAGTACAGTTACAAATATTGCAATTTTCGGTAAAAGTTTGTATACATTAATTAAGAAAAATGGAAAATCACTAAGCTGATGAACAGGATAGGACAGCGGAGGAGACATTCATCATGAATAGTTCAATGATAACCATCGAGCTTAATTAACTGAATAAAGATATCGATTCTGAAAAGCTGTAAAGCATGAATGAGGTGGTTGGAATATGCGTTATATATGCCTAACTACGGCCTAGCTAGAAGGTGATTTTGTCTGCTGTAGAAATAAGTTGGAGGAAAGCTAGGGCGATCAAACTAAAAACGTGGCATCAGTCTATGAAGTTACTGACTGTTGGCCCAATCCATGTTAGTAAATCCAGACTACTTGGTTAGGGTCTGTGCAGTAAACACAATCAGTAGTTAAAGATTTCGTACAACATAGATCGGAATCCCTCACAATAAAACAGATGCGTTCACTCTATCTACTCCCGATCTAATACCCGAATTCCTTTATTTATTCCTTTCCATCATGTCATTTGGGATCATTTTATCAATGTTCGGTTTTTCTTAGTGTTACTGTCACTAAATTATTTAGATCTTTTTTTTGCAGCTCCTCTTGTTATATTCATTTCGTCGTTCTGAAATAATCTGAATAGTTGGGTCAATGAACATCTACGCTGTTGGGTGAATAAAATTTTTGAAGCTGGGGCATAATACATAAAGTTTAAGTAAAATAATCAAATTGAAGGTCCATTAATAAAAATAATTTATTTGCTTGGAAAAAGTCTTCAAAATTTTTATGGCCATCAAAACTTATTGAATTAAACGCCAAGAGAATAAATAAATATTAGCATCAGTAACAGAATAGATAAATAAATCAACAAATAAATAAATAAGAATACGAAAATAGATAACCAAAGAATTTTAAAACGAAAATAAGACCGAATTCAAGTAAAATAACAACAGCAGTAGAAGCTGACGGAAATTTAAAGGTACAAGTTGAGAAGTAACTTTTTCTATTAAAAAAAACCCAACATATTAACAGAGATTGTTCTAACCTGGGATCGAAGTTCTCTACAACAATACGTTCACGTCTTAGAAGGAATTCTAATTGGCCATAAAATGCACTGTCCAAGGGTGCAATCGGTGTAATTAATAAATAATAATCAAATGATTCACTATGTGCACACTTTGTTGAGCGTTATCAGCAGCTAGACCACCAGCATTTGGACCAAGTTTAATGAGTCGGTCACAATGTGTCGATGTACAGCAATCAGGATCTAAACAATCAACAAGATCATCTAACCGAGAAAAAGGAAATAGTGGACAAGAGGAAAACAGTATTTAGTATGATTAAGTGTAGATAGTTTACATATCTGTATAAAAAACACTTATTGAACAATAATGTGTGTGTGTGTGTTTGAAGGGAGGGATCCCTTTCCAGTGATTTCATTCGCCAAGCTGTGCAGTAAAAAATAATATACAGGTTTTTGGTAAAACGAAGGATAACATCAATATAAATATTCGTTGGTTATTAACAATAGTTTATCAAATGTATAATAACGAAAAGGAACAAAAATATCGCAAATTGTTTTTGTTAAAAGACTGAAACGGAACAACTATGGAGCTTAAAGAAATTAGTCAATATGGCCGAAACAAACGACAAAACGGACAACTACAAAGACTGGTTATACAGCATGCTAAACTAGATTTCTCAGCGAAATATAATTAAAAAGAAATTCAGAACAGAAATCCATAGGTCTGGACTTGATAGAGGCGGTGCTTGATTTGATTCATGGTTATCAGCATTTCGCAACTAAATAGCATGAATAATAAAGAACACTTTTTATACCATTTCAATAGTTTAATGTGTTTTAGTTCGAATAATTATAAAGTAAAGTTTACCTATATACTCAACTGGTTAGTAATCTATTTTAATAAATATATATGGGATGGTGTACATTTTGATTCATACCTATTTCTTGTCTTCAAACTTAAGTAGCAGGTTGGGCTCGTAAACATGACTACCAATACCGAAATCAGGAGGCCAACTTACATAGATTCAATGAATAAAGGCTTGGTATCATAAGTGAATAGGTTGTCATATACAACACAAGGATGATGTTTCGTACGGACTTAGATGGTAAGCTCACAGTAACAGGGATTTTATTGATGAAAGAGGTCAGGAAATCAGAAACAAACATTATGTAGGAGCCTTGGAAAATAACAATACTAGTAATAATAACTACTATTACAGTAATTCTTCGAATGTAATTTGATTTACATTATGTAGTGAACATTACGATTTACAAAAACAGATGACAGAGATGCGTCTTTATGTGCTTTTTTATTATAATAAGAGACATAACAATTAGTGAACGAATTGTGTCTTTTTTCTTTCGTATAAATGAGTGTTATTATCAATTTATATATGAATAGACATCTCATAATAATGGGCATAAAATTCCAATAATTTGCAAATAATAATTAGTCTCATAAGAGATACATATTTTCTAAATTATCAGTTGTATAAATTAAGAGATATTATCAATGTTTGTACATTTTGTAAGAACGTATGGGTAAATAACGGTACTATAGACAATAAGAGAAAAAACAGTCCATAAAAAAGACCAAATAAGCTTATATTGAACTACATTTAGCAGGCTTTGAATATTTACAGAATTATTTAAAGGAAATACTTAATAAAGTTCACTAGTGAGTCACAGGTGAACAGAACTAATCGGTTAATTAACCAAAGGAATAAAAGATAGTTTGATTCTGAGTAACTATGGTTATATAACTTACGTTATTTTTTGAGCTAAAAATTATGATAAAAGTCGATAAATGTAAACATTAAACAGTCTAAATCATGGATCAACTTTATCTAGATAACGTGGTAGGTGAGTAATCTTCTAAGCCGTCTCAATCTGGACAATAAGGTCGTCTAATTAAATCTGATTTATAATAACTATCTAGCTGCTAAACTCATTCAGTAATGTTCGCATGCAATATTGCTTAACCTAGAGATGTTAATTGCACAGAATCCTCGTGACTCATTTTTTACACTTGAATGGTTTTAGATGTATAATTATCAGAAAGACGTTTGAAAAATACAAAATTTAATCGACTGGGGTGTTCAACAATCATTAGACAAATTGTATATAGAATAAGTACATTTTAAACCAGAAGTAACTGGGATTTAATTTAAGTTGAACAGAGATCTAGTATACATTATGATGAAATATTAGATCAGTTAATATGGACTGAATGAACCGTCGTTAACCACACTGAATTATACGAATGTTCGAGGTATAAAGATATCGTAGGTAAATATATTTGTGCTTTTTCCTACATATGCATAAAGAAATCGAAAAATAATCAAATAAGTGTCAATATATACGTGAAAAGAATATTGTTAAACATAGGCTGTTAGCTATAAAAAAGTGATGAACATATGTTTCGTACTTATTATCTGAAGGTAGTTCAAGCTTCTTTAGTGGGAAGAGAAATTAAGCGCTTTGTTTGTACGTGGTAGTTGAAGTCTATCGATCAACTACAGAAATTAACTGGGCGGCTGTGAACCCTCGAGATGAAAAAAGATATTGTACTATCTATCGCATGGTTGTACTACCTGAGTGAAAAACGTTTTATCAGTTATTGGAAAAAAGCAGTATCCCGGTTACAGTTCGTCGGCTAGTCTGTATAAATATGAAGATATCACTACAGTCCATGGGAATTAAATATTCAAGCACGGATTTTTGTCATTTATGAAGACATTATTATTTTCTACATGAATGAAATAAAAATAGCTAACATTTAATTTACTACTAGAGAGACGATCATTTGAGATCAAGGAACAGCCTAAGTAGATTGGTTTATTATTCGTATCAGTCAAATTATATCTACAACTTGTATTAGCTAGTACGTTTATCATTAAGTTGTATAATTTTGTCAATAACATGAAGTTCGTAGATTAACGCATAGCTAACTAAGCAAAATATTTTCTCCTAAACGTTATAGAATAGTTAAGCAATAAAACAAATGTCAAATGTGAGTGCTTATGTTCAAATATACAGATAATCTACACAGGGAGTTGTCACTGAAAATGAATTATGTACAGACATTGTCAGAAAAGTAATATATATATATATATATATATATATATATATATATATATATATATATATATATATATATATGGGAGAGCGACTGGAAATACCTAATTGATTGTTTCTACACTTTTCACTTCGATGCAATGACAGTGCGAAAATTTTTTTTAAAAAAAGGTTTTTTTTGAGGTAAATGAATTAATGATTTATACATAGTTTGATCTATTCAGTGTTTCCTTTGGGTTATTCAAGAATAATAGTTTACTTGCCTATACCAAAAATAAATCCATCTATGATTATTTAATTATAGATTTCACTTTAACGATGTATGTTACGACACCCATACAAGTAGTTCGTTTACATGTTAAGTTAATAAAACCCACAAAATTTGTTGGGAGAAACAACAAGTACCGGATATTTGCTTGTTCATCTTTAGAAACAAGTGTCATTTATATCCACTAAAAACTAGCAAGAATAGTAACGGTTAATCTACTAGTCTTGTGCTATTCGTAGATTAATAATAATGAAATTGAGGATGTCGTAAACTCTAATATGACTTAATAGTTCAAATTTTGACTGACTAAATAGTCAACTTAAGAGTTCTGTTCAACACCTACATTGATGACTACTACCAAGATGTAGTGTATTGAAATGAAACAACATATTTATGAGTGGTATTTTAAAACTGGAAATTCATTTCTACATCACAATATAAAATTATTAGATTTTTTGTTTCAAAAACTCTTAACCCACTGTCAATGTATAACTAAGTAATTGGTAAGAACAACTACTAAAATTAACTAGTCTCAAGATCATTTATTTATTATGAAATAAATTCAGATGAACACCACATATTTTCGAAGGATAGAACAAACACCAAATACATTTTATTTTGTCTTGACACTCGTTTTCAAAACGACATGGAGTCAACAGGGAGATAGGCTCGTATTGAACAAGAATATTAGACTAAAAAACGTAGCCAATACAGTGTGACAAGTATTATATATATCAGAAAAATGAGATAGATCATACATATTTACATATATACACGTATGATGAATTTTTTCCCAACAATTTAGCATTTTTTTGGTTTTTAATGCTAACTGTCAACATCCTATACTGACAGAAAGATATGTTTCCAATCAGTGCACGATAATAAAATAGTTCCATATTCGATCAGTCATAAGGAACATTTTCCATGTATATAGTAACAAGATATTTTATGAGAAAATGTTTTATTTTTATATAAGCAAAAAAAAATCAATTTTTATAAAAAGGACTCTGTTTACGTTCATTAGTTTTGTTTATAGCTAGGGCTGGTAATATATGTGTATAAAGTACTGAATATGCAACCCTTTGTAAAAATACTGCATGTTTCGAGATACTACTCATGCTATTATTATCTTATTGCTGTCATGATGATGGTGATGTCTATAGGACAAATATGAACCGTAATAATAATGTAGATAGATTATTAAGAAATTAATTAACATAATGTCAATGAATAATTATGGGACAGTATGAGATGTAATTGCGAAGTCACTACTCAGAAAACAAAGCAATTGGCTTCTAACCATTAATTTGCACGTTTGAATCCAACATTACTAGTTACTTGGATTTGAGAGGCCGAGTATTATTGCTAGTTCAAATACAAATAGTATGAATAATAGCTGAGTACACGAATGTTACAAACCCATAACATGCAGAGGAATATTTTGAAATTTTTATTTTGTTTCACAATGAAAAAAATAGTTATATTCAGCTCTATATACGTGTATTTGTCATGTCTCTTCTTACCCATCCAACAAGTAAGAAGCATTGACTTCTCGTAATTTTGTTACGTCCGGTGTATTTCGAGTGGTTTATAACCAATAATATAACCCTAAATTTCCTGGTACGGCCGGAGGTGGAAAGAGCCCGCCCTCCCTCTTGAAATGCCCTCACATAGTCACGAGCATACGACCACTGTCGGGGAAGTCCTACTCACTGCCTTATCACGGATGGTGTGTTGTTTACGAAATTGAGAGGACAAAAAGCGAATGTTTGGAGAATCATCCTAGGGGAGTTGGAAGATCCTGATTCCAAACCATTGATGTACATGGGCTCCAGAACAAATGGCGTATAAACTTATGGTTGGTCACCGGCTACCATGAAACTGCATCTGCACTGCCTTGTGGATTAGACCTCTACGTCAAAGCTCGGGGAGTGGCCCTCTAAGAAAACCACCTGCTTCTGTTTGGGAGCCCAGGCAGTATCCCAACCCTTACATAAATCGAATGATAAAGTCTGGCGTATATATGTTTGGTGCTCCCTTGTATCAATGTTTGTGTAGTTAAATAGTGAATAATAATAATAAACCAATAATGTTCTTGACAGAAATATTACAAATAAGCAAATAAAATCATTCGCTTTGTGTTATATTTTAATAATGACCTAGATTTTGAGAGATTCCCTGTGATACTAAAAAAAGACAGACTAGCTTGGATCTGATTGCCGAGGGAAACGTTGGAGTTATTATTAAATCTATCAATCACTGAGACTTGTACGAATATAATTTCCTTTTTAATATATTCCATTAACTCGGCGTTCAATTATTGTGAGACTATTTGTCCAAACTTAGACGGTTTTTGTATCTTTGATACTATTTAAAAACTTAAAGGCTATTTAATAGACTAAATTTACCATGATCATTATCTATTCCATCATCACATATTGTTTCGATTTGTCGTTGACACGCACTACCTGACCAACCAGGAGAACATTGACAATAATAAAAATTAGTCAATGTATTCATGATGCATTGACCGTGTCCATTACAATGATCTGGGCAACCATCTAAAAATAAGTAAAGAATAAAAGAACAGCTTGCATGATCTCCGCAACAGGTTCACTAAGTATATGGACGTAGGATGAAAAATGAGAGGGAACAACAAAGATTCATTTTTGTAGTCTAATATAGTTGCAAAATTCGGAAATTTTGAAGATAATTTGTAAGGCCAATTGAGAAACTGAATCAAACAGCTAGCAAAAATCATCATTTAATCGATATTACATTTAGCACAATTTAGGAATATATATTATGCTGCATACATGATACCCTACTAAACAGAATGGAATATCTTCAAGGTAATATCATTGGCTTAACACTTTTATTTCGGATTTGTATTTAACATGTTAATGTTCACAGTTATTCGACGTTAAACGTTAGACGACTCGACTGATTATCTCATATCGGTGAACAGGCTATGAACATTTGTCAGCAGAAGAAAAAGGAACAGGGGAAAGGAAGGTAGAAATGTTACGTTTTTGAAAAAAAAACCAAGAAAAGTAGGCAAAAAAAATTGAGGTGAACAAAAATCAACCAATTAACTAGTAAGTAACAATCGAAGTTCATTCGGTAGGCATTGCCATTTTTACCCAAGTGATGGGGAGACAGAACAGTAAACGAATAAAGATAAAGATTAACGAGGATATTGAAAGGTAACTATATGAATATTAAGTTATTGTTGTTGAGTATTGTCTAATTTTACTCAAAATATTTGATTTTTATTCGTTAAAAGAATTTCCAGTAGATGTTTAAAACAAGAGTAGATTTCATTGAATAAAAAATATTAGCCCAAAACAAAAATCGAACATAGTGACTAGCTTCGTGAGGGAATTCTCGGAGTTCTAGTGAGAAGCCGTGACCAGTGGAGCTAATCCTTGTCGGGTAGAGACAGGTATCTACCTCAGTACAACGGAAGTTGGTCGCGCAATTTCGTGGATTGGTTGATGCTAGGAACTATCACCATTAGATGCCGGCTCAGTGGTCCAGTTGGTTAAGCGTTCGCGCGCGAGACCGAAGGCCCTGGGTTCGAGCCCCGTGAACGGGATCGTGGATGCGCACTGCTGAGGAGTCCCACAATAGGACGAAACGGCCGTCCAGTGCTTCCAGGTTTTCAATTGTGGTGGTCTAACATCAATCGGTTCATGATCTCAATCAAAAACTTAGTAATCTCCACAACCCCTATACTAGTGAACATAAATTCACCTGAAACAATGATCTATCATCGTCCAAACTATTCAGAAAACATTATGTTCTGTTAGAATTTTTATCAGAGAGCACTGTTGTCCGAGTGTTCAAAATTAATTTCTAAAAATCCAAACTAAGTATTACATCTAGGAGTATAAGTACTGCAAAACTACCTAATAAATAAGTGCGGAGCACTGATGAACATTACCTCGTCTACCTGATTCAGGTTAAAAACTTTAAGTGATCTTATGACATTGTCACATATTCTTCTTAACGACAGTCACTACAGCGAAGTGTTTCAATCAACTAAATTAAATGCAAATTTAGGTTAAAACATTCAGTTAGAGTCTGATGTAGGTTGTGGCTACTTGGTCATAAGTTGTATATAATAGGTTGGATATCTGTAAATATATTACCAATATACACTCCTTTATCAGAATCTAACAAAAGTTGAAGCTATAATTAATGCTCTTCCAAAAGGTCAAGGATCTACCTGCTTTTCCCAAGTTTGGTATTAGCAACCTGATTCCTACTTTTCAATTGATGTAATAGATAGCGAACACCTGTATGATTCACATGCCTACAGATAAACATTCACTTACTGTGTTTACCAAAAGATCAGAGAATGTCGACCAAATGTCTTTTTGGATAATTTATAAATTAAATTCAAAAGGGAAAATTGTCTGGCTAATTAGTGTCACAAACAGATGAGTATTTCATGTCAATACATCTCCTACATTATTCACATATTTTTTCGTTCACAATGCAAAATAAGAGAACGATTAGAAAATTACCTAATGTACAGTATTTTCCATTCCAACCGACTTTACAAATACATGTACCATTAGTACAATGTCCATTTATAAAACAACGAGTATCGCATCGTTTTGTAGTACAATCGGAACCTGTCCAACCAGAAAAGCATCGGCATACAGGCTGATCATAACCATCCATATATTCACATACACCGTGAAAACTACAGTCAAGTGTGCATTCTGAAAACAAAACAGGGAAAATGCTAGTAGCAGATTTAAAGATAATTGCATAGTTTTCTTACGAGTAATGGTTTCATGACGTTATAAGTTGAAATTTAGGTTCACTCATCTAACGTTTTTTGCTCGTGTTGCTCATACACAATACAGGGTGATTTTGTAAACAGCTTAAGATATTCGTTGTATTTGACAGTAACTATCAGTTAACTTTACGACTTCCATTTCATTGTACTTGCGAGTTATAAAGAAGACGAAAAATATTTTGCTATATATAATTTATAGTTACAACAAATTTTCTTAAATTTGTCAGTTAACATATATTGACAAACATTGCGTGTAACATTCGCTTACATTAGATGAACTAACGTGCTATAAATGATTATTTCCATAACAATCATATTTCAAGCTGCAATACAACATATGTTTGTATATAAAGCTTTTACTGATCACTTGTTATGAGGTCACTATTAAAAGTAATAAGAACATGATTCAAGACATTGGTTAAAATTCGAGTGATTAAATACTAGAGAAATAGTGTGCTGGTTACCTGAACATATACGTCGCCTGTAATAATAATATTAAACGACTCAAATAAATACTAAGATATTCAAGCATATTACTTTTAAAACTACGAAATATAACCTTTCTATCTAAAGCTAAGGATTTCTAACTTTTCATTAAATCACACAGATAAGTTTACATTACACCAAATCGATTTTAGTGAGGTAAAAATTATTTATTTAAGTTACATAAACAACTAGAGCATCCCATTATTTTTTGTTGTTGGTAGTTTGATCAAATGGAGAGACGAAATAGGAATAAGAAGAAAGAACTAACAGAAAATAAAGTATGACATAACTAACAGGAATAAATAAGATTTGAAGTATTCATAGAAACAAATTTACCTTGTTCTGATGCTGCATCCAACAACAACCTAACAGGTGCGGATGATAATCCCATCGCTCGTACAGACGATGAAGAAGGAGAAGACAGCGACTTCATCATTAATCGGTTAAACATTTTGTTATTATTATTATTATTATTATTATTATTATTATTATTATTATTATTATTATTTCCATTACCCGTGTTACCAGATGTAGATGCTCCATTAGACGGATGAATTAGTTCAGAATTTATTAAATGATTAGGTACAGGTAGCTCACAACCGATACCAGACCAACCATTGAAGCATCGACAATTTCCATTCATGCAAACTCCATGACCAGAACAATTGAAAGAGATACACGTTCCTGAATCCGATAAATAATATGAAATGAAAATAAAACTTAAAATGGGTTTTTTAATGCGTTCTGTGGAACCTAGGCAAAAAACGTTCAATCACGTCAGTGCAAAAATATTATTATTATTTGATCGATTGCTCAGTGTTTTCTTTTAATTCAGCTGGTCATTTACAGTCAGTGCGTGTTTGTGAGCAATGATTACTTAACCACATCGTGCCACAGTATCAACACGCGATTACGACGTCAAAGAACCTAACGAAACTGTAATAAATTCAATACATCCAAACTACAAGGATGAAAAAAGAATAGCTTTATAAACGAGACGGTTAAAAAAGAGGCCAAAAGCATCTGTGTTAAACCTTTTTCATGTGTTAGATATATTTGCAAACGCGAATAATTTCAACTGTTTCATTTGCTTTCTTTTGGTAACCGGTCTCCGCCTATCTCTATTTATTTCTCACTTTGATATGCATACAAAGAAACAAGTACTTATTTCTGCTTCTTATTTCTTTCTACATTACATGTATGCCAACTTTATTATTTTGTTGTTTTTTAAATTTAATTTTCCTAATGTAATGCTGGGTTTACGCCGTGAAGAAATCTAGTAGTAGTACTAGTAGGAACTGAAAACTCCTACTTCATCTAATTTGATTTACAATTTATTGTATCAAAAAATAAATACACGCATAATATGGTAATTTATGGAAAAAGTGCTGATTATCATCTTAATGTTAGAATTTCATGGTTGAGCATATGGGGAAACTAATAAAATAAGTTCTAATCAAATCAGAAATTATTTCCATCATAATAAGTGATATTTCGTTAAACAAATCTCAAATTGACTCATGATCTTAACCATTGAAATCTCAAACAACCGAAGTTTCATGGAAAATAACAAACAAGACAGGATGGTTAACAGTGGGATCTACGATGCGTGTTTAATCTTACTAGGGATTTTCAGTAGGCTATACCTAGATCGTATTATCGATTTTCATACTGAGACTCGAAGCCAGTACTTATCGGTTCATACGAGAAAATTATAAACCTTATATATGCGGACACCATCTTCGATAAACCACGCAGAAATGTTCATAAGGTTAGGTGATTATAAAGATAAAAGTTGTTTTATTTGTTCAACTACTTCTTAAGTTCATTAGCCTATGTTGAATATTTGAATAGGATCCAAATATTTTCGATCTGTTGTATTTGAAGCAGAACTTGGAACAATAGTGCATCAACCAAAGTCTTAATACCATATCAGTTCAGCAAGGTAAAATCAACAAGATAAGTAGCAAAGTGGTTGAAATAAAAGTAACATTAGTGGTAGTAAAACATACAAAACTTAGAGGATACCATCCGAAAAACAAGAAATGTAATGAGGGAATAAATGTATGAAATAATTTTGAAACTGGAAATTTGGGAGGAAATAGAGCAAGAATACGACTTTGCGGAGGCGTCCATATCACCTAAGGTCTACAACCGGTGATGGTGATTATCGCACTGAATTCAACTAGATGGTGGACGAGTACTAAAATGACTCAGGTCAACAGTTAACAAATTCACGGACTCATGCCATATTTTGGTTTGGCCACCTCTAGAACTCTGTTTCTACATAAGCCAACAGTGGAAACCCAGGTAGGTAGTGGCTAGGAACCAGGTCAAATATAATAGCGATTGGAAAAAATGGAGGTTCTGGTAGGGTTTTGTTGTTTGATGAAGAAAACAATGCCTAGACAAATATAAATAATTCGCGCAGTTAATATAACTAATATATTATTGTGGCATAAAACAGGAAAGAACAATCAAATTACGTAGGTAAAAGGGAATAATTCCACGAGCAAGATGTACAATTATGTTAGGGATGCAGAGGAATACACCAATAATTATCGTGTTAAGTCTAATGGTGTCCTTGGACGTTAAATGGACATTTCCATTGGTCGAAATTCATTTCACCTGTCAAATATTGTACAAATGTTGTTTTCTATTTTATGGTACGATGTGGTCTGGTTGGTTGGTATATAAATAGAGTATGTCTAAACTATGGTGATTCATATCTCAGAGGCTGTGACTTGCGTTCTGGACTCAACTGGCTAGGCTAGACAGGGGAGCGGGACCAATCGGGACTCTAGGTCGTCCTTGCGTGTCACTGGGTTAATCGATAAATACGCTACGTATCTAACCTGCAGTCCACCCGTTACAACAAATTATAAAGATGATAGTAACTGGAAACATTTGACCAATAAATCGACTAGTTAAAATTAGTATGAAATATCCATGTTCATTCATTAATATGTACTTATTCAAGTACTGTCATTCTCTCGAACTTCCCTGTTATTGATGTTCATCAGTATAAAGATCCATGAGTTGATTAAAGCATGGAATATTGAACACAGAATTATTAGTCACTCATCTTATGTACGATATACTTTTGGTGTTGATTTAATCTTTGTAATCTGTTTTCCTTACTTATTAATTATTTATTTATTTATTTTGAATTGATGACTATAATTCTGTATAGTAGGTATTTTTCGTAGCTGCCTAAATTATTTTATGTTTATTGGTTCATCGCTCCCTTGCTATGATATTTATCGCTTGCCTTTAAGGCCATGTAGATATATTTAGTTGGTTAGTTAAAACTCATATGACTTAACTGATAAATAATGGAAAGAATAAGATGATCTCTAATATTCATAAATCAATAAAGTTGAAGAAAAAACTAACTAGAACAACACATAAGCGAACAATTGTTTTCAATTAGATCGTGATCAGGCTTTACTCTAATATACATGAATATTTATATATCAGAATATCAGAAAAACAAATCAACATTGTCTTGCCTAACGATAGTCTAAAGGAACTGCTCTTAAGATGCACGCTGAATGTACATTTTGTCTTCAGCAATACTTATTATAGACAAATAGACGGGATAGCCATGGGCTCGCCTCTAGGCCCGATTTTAGCTGACCTCTTCCCAGCAAAGCTAGAAAATGGACCTCTCAATGAGACTATTAAGAAACTTGATTTATATTGCCGCTACGTTAACACCTTCATTATTGTAGATCAAAACACCAGTAAGGAGGAACTCCTAGAACAATTCAACAGTCTTCACCCAGCGATCACTTTCACTGGTGAAAGCGAGCGTGATAAGAAGCTGAACTTCCTTGACGTCACCCTAAGCAGACGAAGTGACGGCACATTAAGTAGAAACGTGTATGGAAGAAACCCCTCTTCATGCCAATATACTCACTTCTGCAGTTTCACACCTAACCGTTACAAGAGAAATTTGGTCAGATGTCTCACTAGCAGAGCAAAAAAGATCTGTACAGTAGATACTCTAAGTCAGGAGCTTGGATTTATCAACAACTCACTGACCGAGATCGGCTACCCCAATGCTTTCATTAAGAAGTACATGTATGACATAATAAAGAAGTAGGAGATTTCGACTGTTCGTAAGAAACCTTTATACATTAAAGTGCAATTCAACGGGGATGTGGCTAGTGACACTCTGAAATATAGGTTAACTAAAGTAATCACGAAGACACTCTACGCAGCCAATCTTGCGTTGACCTTCTCTTGTCAACCAGCGATGTCTACTCAAACGAAGGATAAGTTACCTGAGTTGGCCTCTTCTATGTGCATTTACAAATTCAGCTGCTCCTGTGGAGATAGCTATATAGTGCGTACTACCAGGCAACTTAACCAACGAATGAGTGAACATCTACCAACTTGGTACATAAAGGGCCAGAGAAAATCTATTCGCAGTTCTATATTGGGACATCTTATTGATAGCGGTCATGCAGTAGATAAATCGAAATCATTTCGAGTTATCTATCGTATACCTTCATCATTTCCCGACGGAGTCCGTTCCCGTCTCCTATATATAGCTGAAGCCATCGGAATTCGTACATATAACCCCAATTTATGTGTACAGAAGAAATACGTGACCCCCCTATCCCTTCCATGGCCAGTTATAACTTAGCTAGCAATTTTTTTTTAAATTTTATTATTATCATTATTTATTTTATTCTATTTGTGTTATCGTTAACCTTATTTCCACATCCATTATTTATTTGTAATTTTCCGCCTCTTGCCGTTTGTATTCTTCACTATCTTATTATTTACACACATCTTATTACGTAATGATTTTAATGTTTTGTGATTATTCCTTGTCTATTTACCCATGTTTGACCTTCTATTTCCAACGTTTAACTATTGATAAGAGTTTTGTTATTGTATTTTATTATTCTTACTATTATCAGTTCACCTGTCTTCCTACTATAAACTTGTACTTTTACCTATTATGTGTAGTGACATTCTATTTCATTGTGATTATTGACCCATATTGCCTTGATTGGTTTAAAAATTTTCGTATAAATATTCATGTATATTAGAGTAAAGCCTGATGACGATCTAATTGTTCGCTTATATGTGTTGTTCTAATTTTCACAATAGAAAACTAACTCTCCATGTGTAATTTTTTTCATGCAAAAAATTTTTTGAACGCTTACAATCATATTGATGCTTTAATTAGCAACCAATGTTTTTGAAATGAATCAATTCAAAAAGAAGGTAACTGAAATTACAGAAGACAAGGAATTTAATTCGATACTAACGGCGTTTGACATCGTACGAATTAGATATTCTAGGTTTAATTAGAGAAGCATTCGAACAAAGGAGCTACTTAGTCATGCTTTCATTATTCATCATTAACAGTGGAAATCATCTCCAAACTAATCACTAACGCTTTCTTTTTTCACTTACTATGTAATTATATTTCAATTTTATATTGATGCCATCCAGCATAATTATAAGTTTTGCCTGCAACTCTTACATGCTCATTGACGAGTGTCTCTGTGTGTGCATATAGGTGTGGAATAGAAAAGTATAAATGAATGGATATAAAAAAACTCAATGCATGTAAAAATATACACGTACAATCGACAGACAGTTAAGTGAAAATAATAGTCGTAGTGTGCAGAAAATTTATAAACTTACAAATTAGAAAAAAAATTACATCAATAAATCCCGTTTATTTAATGGTAGTAGGAGTTGTTGTTGTAAATAAATTAAACAGTTAACTAAGTAATTAACATATATGGTGGATGAAAATAAACTGAAGTCATTAAACATAATTACATCCAATCAGTTAAATATAAATTGATGAGCAACGATAACACAAGTGTAGCTATTAATTAAAATGACTTACGTGTCTGGCACAAATTCCCAGCATAACCTTCATAACACTGACATTCACCAACAACACAACGACCATTACCTGAACAGGTAGGATCTTCACATTCAGACCATAATGTCTGACACTCTTGACCTTTCCATTCAGGATAACATCGACAAGCACCAGATGAGTAATCACCATGCCCACTGCAAACTTTTGGTAACTCAGCTATAGATTTTTATCAATAAAAATAATGAGATAAATGTAGAAATACACATCAAGTTGAAAGATAAATACAAAATATTTTTAATCGAAATTCTAGACACTAGACACAAAGGTCATTAGGAAAAAATTAATCACCAGAACAAATGAAAACATGTTTTAATGATAATGACTATTTGTAACCAACGGTAAATAGTTTAAACCAAATTAATAGAGGTATATAGTAAACACAAAAATGTATCCAGAGTTAAGCGAATAGCTTAAGATTTATGAACTTTATTCTGCCGGTCGGAAGCCACATACAGACCTTTGGAAGACAAGAATTCAAAAGTTTTTTATTTTTAAGATAGCTTTAATCAGGGATTAGCTGCTCAAATAGTCACTGAAAATCAGAGAGCATTAAAACTATGGAGAGATAGCCATCTAGTTCTCTAACTATTGATAACAGTCAGTGATAAAAGTCATTGAGAAAAAGTTTATTCATGTTGGTTTTGTGTTATCACATGAGTCACCCTGATTAACTTGAAAATAACCGTGCGTTAAATACACATCACTACTTCTAAACATTATTAAGTAGCTTAACATTATAAAGCGAATAAAGTATGTAAGTATTCAGTTGTGATAAAAACAGGAAAACCATCTATCAGTCGATAAAACCAACAACATATCTGGTTTATTTTGTTGCTTAAAATGTGAGTAAATAAAAATTATATTCAAAGAACAAAAGACTATGTTTGAAGACTGATTGAAAGTTAAAGCAATTCTAATATTTATATATAAATATGAGAAATAGAAAAATTATGTAGTTCAGCATCATTTTTTTACCGCATTAAGGATAAAAAATTATGGAATTTCGATAAATGGGTTAAGGTTTTAAAAAATCTATATTATTGTCATCAAACATGGAAACATGAACACTATTTAACAGTATTGGAAAACACGGATTGATATATAGTTGCGCTTACCTATTGAACAATCTGGACCTTTGAATCCATTCACACAATCACAAACACCACCATCGCACACACCACGATTACTGCAATCATTTGGACAACCTCGTCGCATTACTGATCAAAAGTATACAAACGGAGAAAAGATTTTAGAAATATGACGAAAAATATATAATTAGATTTCTATATTCATTTAAAATAGAATGGTTTATAGACAGAAAACGTAATATGTAGGTAGCATTAAACATACATCATTTTATTGATCGTCATAATAGTCATAGTCGATTCGCGAAATCCATGAATAGCTAAAAAACTTGTGACAAACACTGAAATTCTACTTGAAGTAAAATACCAATAGCAAAAGCAAAACTGTATTGTTTCATTGGTTCAAAATAACTTGGGGAGTTTTTGTGTTTTCACTACGTGCTATGTGCAACTAATTTTAATTTACGATAAATTATGAGGTCTGGATCAGAACGAGACTGAAATAAGTGAACTGACTCCAGCTGCGAATTCATAATATTCATTCAGGCATACATATGGATGGTGAGAAAGAAATTTATGAATTTCGTAAAGCTATATTTCGTTTACATTGTTCACTTGAAGCGTTGTATAATCATTGTACAATAGCATGTCGAAGTTTAATAAAAAATGTTATTTTGAACAGTGTTGGATAAAGTTTCATAATTTTACATTCAACCTTTGAAAGTTATCAACAAAAGACAACGCTGTGACATTCGGATATTGAATGGAATATCAACTTGAATAATTGCTGACAAACAGGTTTATACAAGAATTTTGTTTCAGTATGATGATGATAATCTGATGGGAAATACTGTCGCAAAATTTATGCACATCAGATTATCAATTTTTAATTGCAATAAATTAAGATTTAGGATGTGTTTCTTCTTAACCAGAACAGTGAGAAAAGTACACATTCTTAATTATGAAAAAACGGCTAAACGCAACGTTAGTGAATAAACTTCCCCATGATTTCAAGGTAATTATGATTGCATAAATTTAGCATAGATAACTGAAACATAACGTTTCTCAAAATATTGTTGAATGGTATATGTACTCGATGGCTCTAATAAAGCATGAACTGACAAATATACTTTGTTGGTCAGAAAACAATTGAAGACATCAACATAGCCATCGGACAAATCAAGAACGGCAAAGCAGCGAGACCAGACAACATTCCAACAAAGGCACTGAAAGCAAATGTAGCAGTAACTGCAAAGGTAATGAACGTTCTTTCCAAAAAGATTTTGAATGAAGGACAAGTACCAACAGACTGGAAAGGACACCTGATCAAGATTCCAAACAAAGGCGATCTCAGCAAGTGTGAGAGCTATAGAGGAATCACTCTTTTTTCAATACCAGGAAGTCTTCAACAGGGTATTGTTAAACAGTATGGAGTCCGTAGACGCACAACTTAGAGACCAACAGGCTTGACTACGTAGGGATCGATTGTGTAAAGACCAAATCGCAACACCACGAATCATTGTGGAACAATCAATTGAGTGGAATTCATCGCTCTACATCAACTTCATTGACTACAAGAAAGAATTTGACAGCACGGACAGGACAACACTGTGGAGGCTTCTTCGATACTACGGCGTGCCTCAGAAGATAGTCAATATCATACGGAATCCCTATGATGGATTAAACTGCAAAATCGTGCATGGAGAACAGCTCACAGATTCGTTCGAAGTGAAGACCGGTGTCAGGCAAGTTTGTTTACTCTCATCCTTTCTCTTTCTCCTGGTGATCGACTGGATCATGAAGACGTCAACATCTGAGGGGAAGCATGGAATACAGTGGACAGCTAGGATGCAGCTGGACAATCTAGACTTCGCAGATGATCTGGCTCTTCTATCGCACACGCAACAACAAATGTAGAAGACGACCAGTGACGCAGCAGTAGTAGGTCTCAACATACACAAAGGGAAATGCAAGATTCTTCGATGCAACAACATGCAACAATCGAATCACACTTGACGGAGAAGATTTGGAAGATATAAAAACCTTTACATATCTGGGCAGCATCATTGATGAACAGGGTGGATCTGATGCACATGTGAAGGCGCGGATCGGCAAAGCAAGAGCAGCATATCTACAAGTGAAGAACATCTGGAACTTAAACCAACTGTAAACCAGCACCAAAGTTAGAATTTTCAATACAAATGTCAAAGCAGTTCTATTGTATGGGGCGGAAACTTAGAGAACGACGAAAGCCATCATCCAGATACATGTGTTTATGAAACAGCTGAGATTATTCTTTGATGCTCATCAGTGAGCTACCACTGAAATAGTTATATAGTTTAAAACAGAAACCTGGACTTATAAAGATTAATGCTTTAATATGATATTATGACGCTAAATTTCATGGGGGAAGTTCTCATGTTCCTACCGTTAATATTGGTGAGAAAGAAGTCGTGAGTTATACATGAAAATAAAGCTTCAACAAAAATATAGACTTAATAATTGCTCAAAAAATATGAAGTTAACTATATCTATCATCTTTTGCATCAACAGAAACAAAAAAAGAACCTAGGGTGGGGTAAAATGTGTAAAACTTATTATTACTAAGTGAAAGCAGAACTTTATTCCACCTGTAAAAAATTAATCAAACTGATATTAGAGAAAAGTATTTGCAACGGAAAATATTGTTTGAAAAAAGTCCAACTGACAACAGATTTTCAATAACTTAGTTAATATTACTAAAATCTAATGGACTACACTCACTTAAAAGTATAATGAACATATAGATTGCGCTTAAAATAACTCAAAAATGGATAAGCAAAGATGGATAGTAGCTAGCAATGTAATCCAGGACGCGCGTTCCGTCCTACTTGGGACTCATCAAGTGGATGTACCTATATCTCATAGTTGATATTCACTCTGGGACTCAAACCCAGTACCGTTTGCTTAAAACGCCATCGCGTTATCTACTTAGCTAGCTGGATTTCACTGCTAGCCACTGTTCGTCTTTGCTTATAATGCTTTTGAATTAAAACAATACGCCAATATGCCAATAAAAGACTGGTCAATTGTAACCTAAATACTAATGAGAAGATCCAAGTACACGATGCCAAGTGAATTCAAAAACGGATAGTTAACAAGTCTACCATTCAACCATCAATTTATACATACCGAGGATGGTTGAATATTAGACTTCAGTTGACTGATAACCAACAACTATGGTACTGTCTGTTCAAGTCATCATAATAATTCATTTAAATATTCAAATGGTTTTCTGAACAGAAAAAGTAGTCATAGAGCAGTGGATAATTGATACTATATATTCCACCAGTGATCCATTAGAAACGAGATGATATTTACTATCAAACAATTAGCGCATACACACACACACCTATAGGAATGAAACGTTTGGTTCATGATTGAGTTATTACACAATTGCTAATTTTGTAGTCACAGTGTTCCATAACCCATTAAATTGTTGCATATCATCAGGAAATGTCAATCAGACGAAAATATTATGAAGATAACGCATTAAATAGTTTTCAACTTTTTGGAGAAAAAACATTTATAACAAAAGTAAAAGAGTTCCGGTCTAGACTCATAATACAGAAAAAAGAAATTTTAAAAAGTTTATTTTTTGGGAACTGTAGAACGGCATTGGGGAAACAAAATACGAACACAAGCTAAAAAATGTATATATAGTTTAGGTGGTCAATGGGGACTTGTAGGTCACAAGCCAGATAACGGGGACCGTCTACTGCAAATGTGCGCAGACCATAAACTGTTTCTGGCTGAAACTAACTTTCAACACAGTCATCTTTGATGTGCCATCTGGGGTCCTCTCTCTGCATCTCAAACCTGGACTCAGGTTGATCATATCGCGATCAGCCACTACTGGCATGGCTGTGTACAATATTGCCGATTCTCTTAAAGTACCTATCTGGATTATGATCATGCCCTAATCTTACATTGCATTTCAGTGGCCAACAAGTTCATTGTCCCAAACAAATCGATGTCAGCAAATTGGTTGCACCTTATGCTGCAACTAAATATCAAACCTAGCTAGGCTCAAGACTAGCTACCATTCCACCGAGAAGTATAGTTGAACATTGGTTGTGATTGCATGACGCCATGAAAATGGCGAATAAAGTCGCTTGCGGCTTTGCGAAACAACCCGCCTATAAGCACTGAGTTTCTTTAGACACTTTACAACTCATTGAAGCCCCTCGGTTTTCTCCGGGTGACCGTGAGTTTGACCACAAACGAAGCTTGTGTAAGGACTGAAGAGCCTAATAGTCGGAGCATGCGAATGAATTGGAAGCAGCAGCTGTATATAATAACTACGGGAGCTCTTCCAACTCATCCGAGTCACTGGCAACACGATGTCTGGTGTGAGTGAAACAATTTTTGAAGATGATGGGACGCCAATCAACAACATAGACGATGGGCAGAGTTTTTCGAGAAGCAGTTCAACTGGTCTGCTGACCCGATAACGTCGACCAGACTATCCTGCCCTCCACGACCTGCGACAACTGACCCACCTAACGAGGCGGAAGTCCGCAAGGAACTCGAAATCTTGAAGAGCTACAAATCACCGGGCCCAGATGACTTACCTCCGGCCCTTTTTAAAGATGGTGACTTTCTGTTGAGGAACTGGCAACGTTGTTTACAAAGGTCTGGCAGTTAGTGTCCCAACATTATGGAATGAGTCGATAGTTTTCTCAATTTTTAAAAAGGGTCCACGTCGCTTCTGCATCAACTATAAGGAGATAAGTCTACTTCCGATTCCGTCTAAACCATTGGCTTCCGTTATACTTCATAGGTTGTTCAAAACCCGTGAAAGATTACTTGCGAGGAGCAGGCTGGTTTTCATTCTAATCGAGGATGTATTGATCATATTTTCACCCTCCGCCAACTGTTAGAACACCGTCATACTTATCACAGGCCAACAATCGTAATGTTTCTTGATATCACGGCTGTCTTCGATTCGTTGGACAGGAATGTTCTCTGGGATTGTCTATTGAAGAAAGGTGTGATTTAGAAGTTTATTAATATCTTAAAAGCCCCATATATAAACACCCCAGGCAGAGTGAGGGCATACAACCACCTCTCTCCATTGTTCCATTCAAGCA